TCCCCCGGGACTGCACTGTCCTTTCTGACAGTCGCCCGAAACGAAGCGGTGGCAGCTGCCACCACGTTTGCACAGGCAGTGAGCACATTCTGCACGAGACGGGACTCTGAGCGAGCGCAAAGCCCGGCGGAAGGCAAGGCTGAGCCCGTGGACCCTGGAGCCTCCGATTCCTTCCAAAGAGGAAGAGAGCAGTCGGAGGCCGGCCGTTCCCAGCGGCACTGCCATGTCTCCACCGCGCTGCGACGCGGTCAGCTCCCTGGGCAGGAGGCCTGGGAAACGGGAGAAGCTCCGAGAGCCGGCCAGCGCGGGCCCTGAGGCCAGACAGAGCCGGAAACTTCCTTCTCAGGACAGCGAGGAGCCAGGACGACGGGAGCAGCAGTAAAAGCCCGCGAGGGCGCGCGCGCTGGGGTCTAGAGCACCGCCGGTAACCGGCTCTCCCGCCCTGGTCTGTGGCTTGCTTGCTTCTGAGTTCCGCTTCTCTGGCTGTTTCGGTCTCTTTATGTTTAACGAGAAATTCATTATTTAAGTAATAAATATATTTATTTAGATTTCCCTCACATCCAACCAAGAAACAGTATCCAGAATGTATAAAGAACTCGCAAAACCAAACAATAAGGAAACAAAAAACTCCTGTTAGAAAATAAGCAGAAGTCATTTCACTGAATCTTTAACACGATATAGTCTCCTAATCCCCTCACCCCAACACTAGGCGATTTCGGTTCAGGGATGGACGTTCCCTTCCAGCCTGCACCTGCTGTGCGAACCGGCACCCTGCGCCTTCATCCGTGAGGGTGCCGCTTCGAGTCACGGTGCCAAACACTTTCTAAGTGGCGACTTTCTGGATTTATCGTATTGCTTTCTTGGCTGCGTGATATTCCTTTATACCACTGTACCATAATTGTCCTTTTTTCACCACACTGTCTTTAGTATTATATTTCGTTCTATTGCCATGTCTACTCTAATGTCTACTCTATTCTATTCCTTTTCACCATGGTGGCATCATTGTCATTACTACTACCACGTTCTAAGGCATTTTAGCCATTTTAAATTTGTTGTTTTTACCAAGAGCACTGCAATAAACATCTAAAACACGCAGATTTTATTTCTGATTTTGAATTTCTTTGGGATTTCTCAGGAATGGCACAATTAAATCATTGGATATAGCAAATTTATGCCTTTTAATATTTCTGAACATATCACTTCACCAAAATTTTGCCAAAATTGGATGTTACTTCTTTTTTATTTTACAAATATGGTGAATGTAAATGAGTACATTAACATTATTTTGATTATAGTGTTTGTCCACCATTTGTATTTTTATATACATTGCCCATTGAAATCTTTTATTACTCTATTATAATTTAGAGTGGGCTTTATAAACATTATAGATAGAAATCTTATTCACAATTATATAAATTATTTCCCAGTCCAATGCCATTTTTTCACTAATTCCGTCATTGTTATTTAATACCATTAACTTTGTGTTCTGTGTTATGCTTTCTATGTATTGCTATGAGCCACATACATTTTTACGATTCCTCTGTAGACCTGACGAGATGAGAGTCCGTTTTCTATCGGCTTTTCCTGACGTGTTTGTTTCGCACTTAATCCACCTGTATGCAGTTTTAGTGGGTGGAGTATCTTTGGGCCGGAATCAAGTGTTCCGGGGTCCTGCTCTCTCTGTGGGGTTCTCCCTCCCTCGCTGCCGTGCTGGCGGCCATGTGCTGAGTGTGCGCCTTGGCTCACGCTGGGGGCCATCAGGTCTATTTCTCTTGTGCATTTGCTAATTCCACGTGGTTTGGGCTTGTCGTGGTGTTGGCTCTGTGTCTAATGCCTGGCAGCGCTCGACCACCTTTCTCACGGGATGTCCTCATCTTCTTTGTCCTTGATATAATCTTTAGAATCAGGTGGCTGAATCCCAAAAGAAAATACTTTCAAAAGCATTTAAACCCATATGGAGTTGCATAGGAAGAACACAGAGAGATGCTAAAACACATTACTTTCATGGTCTTTGAGCCAAGACCCCTAGCAGAGTCCTTTGAGAGAACTAGGGGCCCTCTGAAAATCATGAAAACTGCTTCAACTAACAGAGAACAAAAGGGTGCAAACAGAAACATTGTATCTGTCCCAGAAAGTGTGCACCAGGGCCTCACCTTGTCCCAGTTTATCTGATGTAGGAGGTTGGTTCTCAACATCTTTCACAAATGGAAGTCCCCCACCCCAACCATAAGTGCAAGGGTACACACACACACACACACACACGCAAACACACTCAAACACCCTCAACATACACCCAGAACTGAGAGCGGTCACAGACACTACCCAAATGAGTCTCAGAAATGACAGGCATGATCTTTTCGATGTTAGTTCTTAAAAACTGGGCCAGACCCTCCATCACAGCTCATCTTCTCAGGCATCTTCTTTTCTGGAGGCGGAGCCTGGGGCACATTCTCGGGACAAGGATGCTTGAGGGCTCTTCCATGTGGCCAGTCAAAGGACATCCATGTGGAAACCTTCCGGTTCTCCCTCAGGAGGCTGTGTTCACCTGGAACAGGGTGGTTTTCCCAGGTGGCCTTCACCATTGGTCAGCAGCCTGTCCTAAACAGAACAGTTGCATTGACGCCGAATCCTGGCGGAGAGAAATTGTCTGCCGGGAAAGAAGCAGGACCTGTGACACGTGATGGAAAGACATCTGTGTTATACATAAGTTCACATTGAGAGACACGTCCAAGAGGAAATGTAAAAACGCACCAAAAGTAGAGTTGGAGAAATGCAGTGTGAATCTGCCTCTCCTGGCTGTGTGATCTTGGAATAACCAAGTAAACGTTCTAAGCCTCATTTATAAAAGAGGAACGAGAATAGCATTCAAAGTTGATGTGAGGATTAAATTAGATCATTTATAGAAACTACCTCTGCACTAACAGGACAAAATAAAATAACTTGTTATATAGGTTTAAAGGATGCACTACTCCATCCCTAAGTAAAGTCCTCTATACTCTCCAAGAATCCTCCCCAATTCCAATACTTACAACAGAGATCTTCAACCTTTTGGGGTTATGAATCTCTTAGAAAATGTAAAGAACGTTAAGAGCTGCTTTTTCCAAAAGAGCCACACAAGGCAACATTCCGGTGTGGAGGTCTAACAGGACAAAATAAAATAACTTAACGCCTTGAAACGCGTCTGTGGGCTGCTCCGTGCAGCCCAGGCTGAGAACTCCAGCCTCGAGCACTTCCCGCTGCACGCCCGCCGTCCGCCAGCAGGTGGCGGTGAGAAAACTCAGCCTAATTACATCCTAAGCCACTGGCCAAAGCTGAGGGCTCTTCAGTCCACCCCCGGCCCTGACCGCTTTCATAACCCAGTGCTTCCCCCACCCCACGTCACACCTCATGTGGGGGCGAAAGTCTGACTGCCTGGTTCTTGTCGAATGGACGAACTCCAACAGGAGTGAACGCATCCATCAGGTTGCACCATCTCACTGAAGCTTTGTCCTTCTTCGTGATTTACAGTAAAAGCGGCCAACACCTTTTCAGTCCTTACTACGTGGCGGGCAGTGTGCCGGACACCTGCACGGACTGTCCCCTAACTGTCCCACTCGGCAGTGCGTCTGCTGGGGCTGAGCTGGTGGGAGCCACGCTGCGCAGAGGCTGAGCCCGGAGTGGCCGGGCCGGGGTGGAGCCTGAGCCCCCCAGCCGCGGAGCCCTGTTCCCACTCCTGTGCCCTCCTGGGACAGTTCGCAGGTCCTGACAGCAGGGTGCTTAGCTGCTTCGGGGCCCTCACCGTGCTGCTGCTATCATCTCTCAGCTCCCAGCCCCGAGGAGCCCCCTCCCGAAGACTGCGCCCCACCTGGGGACCGCTCCCTGCTTGCTCCGCTTCGTGAATCGTGCGCATCACCCCGCAGCTCTGTCCAACCCCCCACAGAGCACGCGTGGGTTTCAAAGCTTCGTGCGTCCCCGCTGCTAACCTGCCTCCCATTTCAGATGAGAACCAGCCCTTTGGTCATACTTGAAGGTCAAATTTCCACCCATGTGGTCAGCTTGCCTGCCACTGTCCTCTGAGAGCCCAGTCGAACCACGTGTGGTGCAAATGTGGCCGGGCCACAGTGGCGTGGGAGGGAGGGAGCGTCCCCACCACAGCTAAGCCTCCGCCATCCGGCACCTCGCAGCTTCCACGCGCCTGGAAAATGTGTTTGCGTGAAACCGTCTCAACGCTCAGCACTTTTTAAAGACTGGAATACACCTGTTTAGGTATTTTAAGAAAATGTTAGGTGGTTTAGCAACCTGTCAAGACTTCAACCCCCTCTCCTCCCAATCTGACAGTTTTGTTTCCTCCTCCCATGTCTTCAACACCATGATCTGACCCCAGCCTGGTGACCCCGTCCCAGCTTCTGGTGGTGTCTTGTGTTAACAGCTGGACTGTCTTGAACAAGAAAGAGCTCGCTGTGTGGACCCGGGCTCACCATGAAGGGCCGCGTTACGCGGGGCCAAGGCTCGTCTGCGATCGGGACGTCCGACCCAGAGCGGGTGGAGCAGACGCCGCCGGAGTCAGCGCGGCAGGACAGAGAGGCCGCGGGCGGGACAGAGAGGCCGCGGGCGGGACAGAGAGGCCGCGGGAGACGCGCGTCCAGCCAGTGCAGGAGGCAGAGAGGACAGCATGGAACTCCGGTCCCCACGGTAGGAGACTTGGGGTTGAATTATGACTCTGTCACTTACTCATCGAATGGCCCTGGGAAGGTCCCAAATGTGTCATCTGTGAAATGTGAATAATGACCTTTTCTTATGAGGCAATTGTCAAGGACTCGGAGCAAGCGCTCAGTGAAAACACCTGCCATGATGATGTGCCCCCCCCCCCCCCAGGGGAGGCAAGGGAAACAGTCTGCCCACGGACCATCCGCCAGCAAAGTGGATGGAGAACAGTGAGCCCCACGGGAAAACTCAGCCCGCCTCCTTCAGCCCAGACAAAGTGATACCACCTGAGGCGCCATCATCTGGGTCCGGATCCGCTAGGTCTTCCCATTTGCTCTCACTGTCATGGGGTTCTTCCGAAGCAAAGACTCTGAGGGCGCGCCTGGGGAACAGAACTGCAGCAAGGGAATGCTCCCTGAATCGCCCTCCAGACATTCTCCACAGGGCAGCTGGACTTCCGACGTACAGTTGATGGGGAGAAACACTTCATCCTCCACGGTGGGAGAGGGGACTTTGGGTGGATGGCTCATGTCACCTTTCTCATCATCCTTGTCCAATTTAGGACTAGAAAACAGAAACCCGTGTGTCTTCTAGTATTGATCAGAAATTCCTTTCCGTCTTCCCTTGCCTTTCAGAAGGCTCATCATGGCCCATCACAGGAGAGCCAGCCAGGGTTCAGGCAGTTCTTGCCAGAAACTGCTCTGGGGCCAGAAGGGAAACAGTGAATAAGGCATGACCCCTGTCCTTGAGGGACCCCCAATTAAATGGAAAGAGTGAGCAGTAAATGCCACAAACCAGGTAGTAAGTGCTATGGTAGAGGCAACACAAAGCATCATGGGTGCAGGAAGCTCCTGACAAGCCCAGGAGACCAGGGGGACTTGCCAAAGGGCACAGAATCGACAGCAAAGCTATCACCCAACTCTAGAACTAACTCTTCACAGGAGAGTCAGTCAGCCCTCGACACGTTTATTCACGCCTCTGGAGCCTCGGTTTTCTCATCTGAAAAGTGGGAAGATCAGAAATATACAGGATGTTGGGATGCTTAAATAATTCTGATACAGCCGTCTCTAGCTCCTGGTGCAGAATAAGGCCTCAGAAGGAAGGAGATGCCATTGTTACTACACTGATTATGATTGCTAATTCAACAGAGGAATTCGGTGGAAAGGAGAAAGCAGAGGGTTGGGCTCAAGTCAAGCAGGTGACCTTCAAAGCACTTTGTGCAAATATCAGGTCATTCCCTGAGCATTGGAAAGGTGCCCATTTGGAGGCAGCCAGTGACAATGACGTTTACTCCCTGTGTGACACAGGCAGGGGGCAGATGAATGCTGAGACTCATTGTCCAGCAGCGAGGACACAGAAGCAACCATGAGAGAGGAGCCTTCTAGAGGCTTCCCAGAGTCGCCACGCATGCTTTCTGATTTGCAAGAGCGGCCCATGCAGACGGGAGAGAAAGCCTTTTGCAGTTTCAAACATACAGAGAAGGTGCTGTCGGAAGTCTGGTTAGAGGTGATGAGTAGGAAAATCTAAGAAAAATGCACACACATTTAGTTTTTTTATGAAATGCGTGAATGTTTATTTACCAGCCTCCTTCCCCACCCGCAAATCAATGTTTGGCTTTGCTTACAGGTCCCCTGACCTCCTCTCCCTGTCCAGCCACGTGTCTCTCCTTTAAACGCACCCTAGCATTCCGGATAGCCACAAGCCCCCAGACACCCACAGGGCCTGTCTTGCTCTCCAGTAGAGTCGGGTGTTTGTTCCAACCTCAGGTTTCCATCAACGAGAGCGTATTTCTGCTCACGAGAGCTGCAGGGCACAGGTAAAGTGCATTTCATGTACATACTCAAGCATCCCTGTGTCTGCAAGGAGACCGCATGCAACAGACTAAAGAGAATATTCCTTTGAAGAAACCAATACTTAAACATCGCTAAGCACTCCAAGGGAGAAATGGTGTAAAACCTTAAGATACTTGGCTGAGTTGCATAGAAATGTGGTTTCTTAATGGTATAGAAATTGGGCAGGAAACCACAGAGGGTTTGTTAAAGAACAGGACACACAGCCTGTTGCCCAGGCCCACCCCACCCCCGCCTCCCAGCAGCTGTCCCCAGCGGAGGGGAAGCAGGTGGCAGCATGTGTCCATCGGCCACAGCACCGCGGGACTGTCCAGGCCTCGACTCCTACCACCACCCTCCTGCAGCCTTCCTAGTAGGCTCCTCGCTCACTGCTTCGATTTGGGGCTCCAGCTACTGGCCCGGCCTGAAGAGAGAGCCCCAGGGGGGCCATCAGCCGGGAAGGCAAGCAGCGAGGTGGTCGCAGTGTCCACCATGGGTGGGGGGGCCCAGGGAGAAAACACCTGGCCGTCATCCCACCACAAGTCAGGATGGCTGCCCTTCCTCCCGCCCTTTCACACATGTCACCAGGCTGCCATGAGATGTGACCTGGCGTTTGGTGGTGGGCATAGGGAAGGTGAGCAAGGGAGGAGGGGCACAGAGGGGCCCATGAGAGCGTCAAGGCACCGCCTACATGAAGGGCAAGCCTTGGAGATTTGGGGAACTTAACAAGGACGGTGGTAGAGCAAGGCCAGATGTGTGGGCAGGTGGGCACTCTTGGTAAAGAGGCAGAGGTCTTTATCAAGGGCTCACAGACGGCTCGGGGCACCTGGGAAAACTGCCCCAGGACTCCCATCTGGAGCCCGAGGGGCCCAAGGTCACAAAGCTCTCTGCAGACCTCCAGGTACAGTTAATGACCTAGCTGCTCCCTGCCCTATTCCCTCCATACCGAGCTGTCTGACGAAAGAAGCCTCGTACAGACACATGGTACCCAGAGGAGAATCGGGACCCCATGTGAGCTCCCCGCCCAGCCATCTCCTGGAGGGCCCAGAACCCAAATCCTGCAGCTCTTCAGGGACTGGTATGAAGGGAACGAATCCCAGGCAGGCTCTGGGGTCCAGGGGTGAGGCTGGCTGTCCCTAGGGCACTGGAGGACCAGGGGTGAGGCTGGCTGTCCCTAGGGCACTGGGGGACCAGGGGAGAGGCTGGCTGTCCCTAGGGCACTGGGGGACCAGGGGTGAGGCTGGCTGTCCCTAGGGCACTGGGGGACCAGGGGTGAGGCTGGCTGTCCCTAGGGCACTGGGGGACCAGGGGTGAGGCTGGCTGTCCCTAGGGTACTGGGGGACCAGGGGTGAGGCTGGCTGTCCCTAGGGTACTGGGGGACCAGGGGAGAGGCTGGCTGCCCCTGGGCACTGAGGACTGAGGGTGAGGCTGGCTGTCCCTAGGGCACTGGGGGACCAGGGGTGACGCTGGCTGTCCCTAGGGCACTGGGGACTGAGGGTGAGGCTGGCTGTCCCTGGGCACTGGGGACTGGGTGTGAGGCTGGCTGTCCCTGGGCACTAGGGACTGAGGGTGAGGCTGGCTGTCCCAATGTCCACAAGCCTGGGTTACAGGAGCTGCAGACCTCATGCTCTCCTGTTCTGTCTCCCCTCCAAGTGCCTGGGCAGCGCTGGCCTAGCAGGTGTCTGAGCCCAGAGATTGCTCGGTTGTCATTTCCAGCCATGAGGTGCATACAATTTACCAAAGATCTGCAGATGTGCTGAGTCTCACGTTTCACGTCTTCTGATGTCACAAAGGGAATAGCAGGTCCTCCCCACGTCCCTCTCCAGAGCGCTGGCCAACGGCGCAGCGTCTGTGTCCCGGTGCAGGCCGCATCCGTGAGGGTGGGGGTCCCCAGGACGCATCCGGGAAGAGGCCCAGCGTCGCTTTCTGTCTTGGCCCCGCTGTGCCTCTCCGGTGGCCTGTTGGAAAGCCTGGGGCCGGGGGTCCAGGCCGCCCCCTGCGTCTGGGCAGGCGCTGTCCCTCCGGCTGCCCTCTGGATCCGGCCAGGGCTCTGGCCTGAGTCAGTGCGCTGCCCCGGGCACGTCTTTGTCTGCAACGCGTGTCTGTTCAAGGAAATGTTAAGGATCAACAGGCCCATGGGGCACTCTGAGCAGAACCTAAAAATCGCTTCTTTAAAAAGTAATAAGGGTGTTTTTCCCACGTGCTGGCAGAACAGAAGAGTGAAGGGAGGGGCCCTGGGGCCAGCCTCCCTCGGGGGGACCTGGCTCCCACTGGCCCAGCAGCACTGAACCATCTCTGAGCCATGGAGCTGGGCCATTGGAAGCTCTTGATAAATGTGTTACTTTTTATTTTATTTTTTTTATCCTCACCCGAGGATATTTTTCCATTTTTTGTACAGATAGAGTGGGAGGGAGAGAGAGAGAGAAACATCGACGTGAAGGGACACATCGAGTGGCTGCCACCCGCACGACCAACCAGGGCTGGGGACAAACTGCAACTGAAGTACGTGCCCTTAGCGGGAACCGAACCCGGGTCTCTCCGGACCGCAGGCCGACGCTCTAACTGCTGAGCCAAACTGGCCAGGGCAATGTGTTACTTTTTAATAAAAAGTATTTGGGAAGCTTAGACAATACGAAGACAGAAGCGTCAATGTCTTTTTATCCCATTTTTTAATAGAAAAAAAAATGTTTTAAGTTTTTGGTCCTCATCTGTCCTCATCCAAGACGGCCACTCTCAGCCTTGGCCCCTTCCCATGACCATGGCCGCCCCGGTCTCCTCTCCCCTCTGCAAACATTCCTTGAGGCTCGGCCTTTTACAGTCCTCTGGCCTCGTAGGTTCCGATCCCCTACCTGCACCACCTGGAAGGAAGAAACTTCTGCCACCCAGCCTGGTAGTCTCCTCACCGGCTGCCTGCTCACCCCCACAGTGAGAGGGACCCTGAATACGCCGTTATTTCAATACAAACCATAAACCCTGTGAGTCTACTGATACACAATGTATATTATACAGGGTGCCGCAGATTCGGAAATGGATGAGGCAGAAATAAATGAATAGGAAAGCACTTACTTTCGGGAGACTCCCCAAACCTCACTCTTAAAGATCCCTCTCCTCCAGGCCGTCCCCTGCCCTGGCTCCCTGGCAGCCCGCCAGCTTCTTCAAGGCGCCCGTGGAGGACCTGCCGGCTCCCACGCCTCTCTCCCTCTGCCACCATGTGCTCACACCCCTCCTCTCTGCTTAGATCCCGGGGCGGCCCGTCCTGTGACATCCCCTCCAAGGAAAGAGAGCCTGAGCTCCTTCCTCTCGGCCCTCTGCCTTGGGCACAGGCTCCCTGTAGGGGCTGTGCTGTGATCCCAGTTCCTAGTGTGACTGTGCACACGGATTCACACCTGCCTCGGGCACAGGCCCCCTGTAGGTGCTGAGCTGTGATCCCGGTTCCTAGTGTGACTGTGCACACGGATTCACACCTGCCTCGGGCACAGGCTCCCTGTAGGGGCTGAGCTGTGATCCCAGTTCCGAGTGAGACTGTGCACACGGATTCACACCTGCCTCGGGCACAGGCTCCCTGTAGGTGCTGAGCTGTGATCCCAGTTCCTAGTGAGACTGTGCACACGGACTTCACACCTGCCTCCGGCACAGGCTCCCTGTAGGTGCTGAGCTGTGATCCCGGTTCCTAGTGAGACTGTGCACATGGATTCACACCTGCCTCGGGCACAGGCTCCCTGTAGGTGCTGAGCTGTGATCCCAGTTCCTAGTGACACTGTGCACACGGATTCACACCTGCCTCGGGCACAGGCTCCCTGTAGGTGCTGAGCTGTGATCCCGGTTCCTAGTGAGACTGTGCACACGGATTCACACCTGCCTCGAGCACAGGCTCCCTGTAGGTGCTGAGCTGTGATCCCGGTTCCTAGTGAGACTGTGCACACGGATTCACACCTGCCTCGGGCACAGGCTCCGTGTAGGTGCTGAGCTGTGATCCCGGTTCCTAGTGAGACTGTGCACACGGATTCACACCTGCCTCGGGCACAGGCTCCGTGTAGGTGCTGAGCTGTGATCCCGGTTCCTAGTGAGACTGTGCACACAGACTTCACACCTGCCTCGGGCACAGGCTCCCTGTAGGTGCTGAGCTGTGATCCCGGTTCCTAGTGAGACTGTGCACACGGATTCACACCTGCCTCGGGCACAGGCTCCCTGTAGGTGCTGTGCTGTGATCCCGGTTCCTAGTGAGACTGTACACACGGATTCACACCTGCCTCGGGCACAGGCTCCCTGTAGGGGCTGTGCTGTGATCCCGGTTCCTAGTGAGACTGTGCACACGGACTTCACACCTGCCTCGGGCACAGGCTCCCTGTAGGGGCTGTGCTGTGATCCCGGTTCCTAGTGAGACTGTGCACACGGACTTCACACCTGCCTCGGGCACAGGCTCCCTGTAGGGGCTGTGCTGTGATCCCGGTTCCTAGTGAGACTGTGCACACGGACTTCACACCTGCCTCGGGCACAGGCAGATGCCAACGGCAGGAGAGGCAAAGCAGAGCAGGGAGAAGGCACAGGTGTGACTCATGACCTTGCGACCAACCAGCTGAGGTTGGGGACCAGCTCTTTCCTGCCCCAGTGACAGAAGGTGGCGTTGAACCCTACCTAAGGCAAACTGGGCTGCCCAGACCCGCTGGACAGGGAAGGGGAGCTCGAACATGTGGCCTGTGGGGAGAGCGCGGACACCAGTGTTACTGGCCATCCCCGGCCCAGCTCAGGCAGGACACCTGGAGGGCCGGCAGCGCAGGAGCCGACCTCCTGGGAGGCCCTGGCAGCGAATGGGGCGCCTCCTGGAGGAGGCCGCACTCGTTAGTCCCTAGGGCGCTGCTGTCCTCCACCCACCTCGACCGGTTCCTAGCTCCAGGAAACCCCTGTGGCCTGACCTCCCCAAGCCCGAGGAGGCAGGGCCACCAGCCTGAGCGCCCACAAGGGCAGCGCACAGTGCAGCTGGATGCCCAGTCTGCCCAGGGCCTTTCTGTGACAACATCTGCCAAAAATAATGGCTGTTCCTCAGAGACAGGGCGACTCAAGCACAGGACGGCTGCCCTCTCACCCTCCCCTCTCTCCCCGCCCTCATCTCTGTCCTGTCCTGTGGGTGCCCGGCCGTGCTCAGCTGGGCCCGGGCCTCTGGCCTACAGGCTGCTGCCGTTCTCCGTTCCTGGATCCGGCCGGACGCAGAGACATCCCCACCCAGACACCGCCGATCCGGGGGCTCCCTGTTCTCCTTCCCCTCTGGGGGCCCTTCTCCGGCTCCAGAGGCGGGACTGTGCGGGCGCAGGGAGGCTTTCTGTGGGCGTGCGGTGGGCACGGGCAGGGGTGCGCCCGCCTCCCTCCCTGCGGGCACAGCGCTAAGCGTCCCTCAGCTACTGTCACAGCTCACGTCCCGGAGTTCTCTGCACCCAGCTCTCTCAGCTCTGGTTGGGTGACAGTCCTTCCCACACGCCTGTGGGCGGGGGAGGGGGTAACCGCGCCCTGGCTCCCTGGCCCGCACCTCCATTGACCGCTCCTGAACGACCCGTTTCCTGCCTGCGCCCCCACTGGTACGGGCGACATTCCAGTGAGCTTCTGTGCTATAACCTCAGCGTGTCCACTTTCACTCTCGTTTTAATCATGTGTGTGATCATACAGGACAGCCAATGCAACGCTGTGCTTCAAAAGCTGTAAATTTGCCCGGCCGTGTGGCTCAGTGGTTGAGTGTCGACCCCTGCACCAAGAGGTCGCAGGTCCGATTCCCGGTCAGGGCACATGCCCGTGGGGGGCATGCTGCAGGCGGCCAATCAGTGTTCTCTCTCATCGATGCTTCTCTCTCTTTCTCTCTCTCTCCTTTCTCTCTAAAATCAATACAGGGAAAAATTTTTTTTTTAAAGCTGTAAATTTAGTAGAAATGGGGAAAGGACGGGAAGGACCCACTGTGGTGCCTTCAGTCCCCCCCCCCCCCCCCAGAATGTGTTGGGAGACCTTTAGACAACACAAAAGCCAGGGTTTTTCCTGCAGTTTTATAACGAACCTAATTAGAAGCAAGGCTTACTCAAGATCAGCTTTTTAAAACTAAGATGGAAAATTAAGTGTGAGACTGTTCCGCCAATCGGTCTCTGTGGGTGATCAAAGTCCCGGCCCCAGGTATGATTTCAGGAGCCAGAGTGTTCCCGGTGGTGGGAGGGCCTGGACGGGCAGGGCTGCCGCCAGCTGGAGCCCAGGGCTGCATCACGCGCGCCCCACCTGGAAGACAGGCCTGCGGTAGGCTTTCCCTTGACAGCCGGGGCGACGTCACCGGCTGCGATGGCCCCGTTCTCCGCCGCGGGCTGCCCTGGGGAGAGCCGCTTGATCCCCACAGATCCTTCTCGAGGTGGCTGCAGCTGTCTCTCTCCAGCTGCACAAAACCGAACCCCAGACCACCGGCGTTCTTTCTCAGTTTGACTTCAAACCTCGCACCTGTATCGTAGGGCGAAGGAGCTCAGCCCTTCAGCAGATTATGAGTGAAACCGACCAGCCTCAGAATGCAAACTGTGCGGGACGATTCACGTGTTTTACACAGAAAGATTCCCCTTTGCTAACTCGGATGCCAGAGTCCACCACGGGCAGTGTCGTCCGGTGGCTGTGTGATGTGCACTGCACTGGCCGTCGTATCAGACGGTGCGCTTACAGATAATCAGCAAAGGGCACATGCAGAGACACAGGTCACAGGCCTACGCCACATGTCCAGGCATTGGGTCAAACGCGTATCACACACGCTCGTACCCCTCTGGAACCTCAATCATTGTTTAATATGCTGGAAACTAAGTTTCGCATCATTAGGTTACGAAGACAATTATGAGTGATTCTACGGAAATGTTTTAGCTGCTGTGTTGTGTAGCTGTGTGCACTGACCGGAGACAGAACAGCTGCCTCTGGGCACCCAGCTGGACACAATCCCAGGAACCTCGGGGGCCTGGCAGCTGAAGAGCCTCTCAGCCCCCTCACTTCCCTTCACCAGCTTGGCTGGCATAGTCCACGAGGCGCAAAGCACGCTGGGAGCTTTGATTTGGGACGAGGATAAAAGCACCAGAAGCTCTTGGATTCGAGTGTGTTGCATAACTAACTTCACTGCACCATCACGTGGCCGCTTCCGCTCATTCTGGAGCAGTTTCTCCAGGTCCTCACTGGAGTCACCAGAGGAGCAATGTCTGGTTCTAGGCACAGGTGAGCACCTCCACCCAACCCCTCTCCACGAGGGCCACCTTGCCTTCGACCTGACTGACACCTTCCAGAAAACCTCCACGAAGGTAAGTTCCAATCCATGACATCCTAAGGAAATACCCCTTTTCTAGCAGGAAACAAAGTCACAGGGACATGCAGAGCGGTGACCCCTCTGGAGATGTGCAGTGATGCCCATGTAAACTGCTTTCTAAAATGTTGCTAATAAAAAGGCTAGTTTCTGAACAGCTTTCTTGCCCAAAGTATTTCATCAGTCCTAGATCTTTGGTTATGAATGTCTTGGCTTGAAGGTGGAGTTTGGTCAGAAAATGCATCACCCCTTCCTTCCAATTCTATCCTCAAATATTACACACAGACATTCCAGCAGCTGGTCAGAAAACCTCAGAGGGTGTCTGGGCAGAATTACACCTGGTAATCATGTTGGGATGATGCATTATTTTTCCAGAAATACATTTTGCTAGATTGGTTTCAGAAAGCCAGCTGCATCGTGACCACCACTGCTCAGGATCTTTGGAGAACCCAGCGGAAGCCTCCCTGCATCCCCTTTTGAGCTGACAATCCCAAAGCAGCACAGGATGACATGACAATAGTCACACTCAATTCCCTCTCGTCTCACCATCTGTCACCAGGGCACAGCTTGCAGGCCTGTCAGGCAAGGCTGTTGCCAAGGAAACAGCCGTGCATTCAACTCCCATCCTGTTATTAACACAAGGACACTGCTGCGCACTGGGGCCTCTTCTCTCTAAGACCAGTCTTGCAACCTAGGATGGGTGAACAGACTCAGTTTGTACTTCTCGTGGTATAAGCTCTCCCTTCCCCTTCACATGCTTTTCAATTTTCTGACACTTTCAGGAGCTGCTTCATTTGAATCTCAAGTCAAAATCTCCAACCGAGCCCGTCTGCTGGGGTCCAGAGTCGTATGTCCACTGCCCATCGGACAAACGCTGCTGGAAGTAATCCATGCGCCTCTCTTTCAATGTATTCAAGGCTGAGCTCATCTTCTTCCCCTCACTCATCCTCACTGCTCCCCATGCATTCTCCCGGATCGTAGAACCACGCCTCAGATCATCCCCCCCGGACCTCTCCTGCACTGGTCCAGCCCCCTTCTGCCCCCGCAGTGCTCCTGCGCCCCCACCCCTCCCGGCTGCCCGTGCCCCCAGACTGTGCAGGCTCCCGGCTCGAGGACCCAGCTCCTCCTGGGGTCCACCCTCCGCATGGCTGCCCAGAGAACGGCCACAGACACAAACTGACTGTGCCACACTCCTGATTCCGAGTTTCCAGTGCAGCCCTGGCTGGGTAGTCAACTGGTTAGAGCATTGTCCCGATACGCCAAGGTTGCGGGTTCGATCCCGGTCAGGGCAAGTATAAGATACAAGAATCAACCAGTGAATGAATAAGTAAGACAACAAACTGACGTCCCTCTCTCCCCAACACCCCTTTCTAAAATCAATAAAAAACCATAATAATAACAACAGAGTGTCCAGTGTTGCCCATCAGCTGAAGTCCCACCCCCTGGCACGGTATACCAGGCCCACGCCAACCTGGCCCCATTTCCTTGCGGTGTGGTTTTTCTTTTTTTTCTTTGTTGATTTTAGAGAGAGAGAAAGTGAAAGGGAGAGAGAGATAGAAACATCGATGAGAGAGAACATTGATCGGCCACCTCCTGCAGGCCCCCCACTGGGGATGGGCCCACAGACTGGGCATGTGCCCTGACCGGGAATCGAACCGGCGACCTCTTGGTGCAGGGTCGACTCAGCCACTGAGCCACACCGGCCGGGCACGGTTTGACTTTCCATCCCTGTTCCCACACACTCTGCCTCTGGTTACCCAAAGCAGGGTCAAGAGCCAGTGGCTGGACGTCGCCTGGACGCTTTCCAGAAACGCCAAGCTTCCCTTCAGGAGACGGCCCTGCGAGTATTCTTCTGCCGCAATTGTCATTCAGCACTGAATCCATGGTCCCAGAGGGACAATTCCTACCTGTCATCACCACCGGTAGGCTGGCCAAGCACCTTCATAATCATGTTGCTTAGCAAAGGTCTGAAGAACAGAGAACACTCATAAATTATGATTCTGTTCTCAAGGCATGTGAACCAAGGTCGCTGTACGAGTGAACCCCGTAAACCAGAGCTGGCTGGGGGAGAGCAGTGTCACCAGAGGGGCCCGGGAGCCCCCGTCTCTGCTGACTCCCAGCACCAGGACAGTGCTAGCTCTGCTGTGCAGGGGACGGACAGTCTGCCACTCAGGCAGAGGGCGGAACGCAGCCGTGACATCCGATGCCACCGGGCACTGCCCAGAACAGAGCACCTCGTGAGTGGATGCCTCCGGCTCTTGGAGTCTTGAATTTCAACCTCACTGTTGAAAGGGCTCCCAGCAGTGTGGCCTTCAATCTCGCAGCACGATGGGAACGTGGGAACTGGGGGTGGGGTCAGCATGTGCAAGGCAGGTCAGGGGTGGGGCCGAGAGCAGACGGAAGCACTGGTCAGCTGGGCTGCAGCAGAGAGCGGGAGGGGCAGCCGAGCAGGTGGGGGGGGCGAGCGGGTGGGGGGCCGAGCAGGTGGGGGGTGGGGAGCAGTACACCCGTCAGCTCCCAGCAGATGTGTGATTCGGAATCTAGGCAAATGGCAAGTATGTTCCACGGCTATTTATAGGTGTGACGTTTCCTGCTTGGGAACATCTGTCTGCTTCCTCCTGGCCTTCACACCCACATAGAAAGGTTGTGGCAGAAGGAAGAAGCAAAAGAGAATACGACAAAGAAGAAAGTCTCGCTTTCTTTCCTGCCTGCGCCCTCCCACCCAAGGAGATTGCAGAAAGCTCTGGAAGGGGGAGCCCCCAGTTACCCTGCCCGGTGCACCTACCTGCGCTGAGTCCTGGAGGCGCTGCAGGGCCTGCTCGTGGGGGAGGCCGCGCAGACACCTCCTGTCTACCTGCAGGAGCCTGTCGCCTGGGAGGGAGACGGGGGTCCTGTCCGGGGTTCCTGAGGCTGCAGGAGGGACCCGCCGGGGGCCCTGCCCAGCACCCTCGGGACACCTTCACACAGAGGACAGAGAACCTTCCCAGGGCTGAGCCATCTCTACGACCTCGTCCTTTCTCCTGTTGTCCTGGGAAACGGGTTTGGAAAGTTTTTCAGGTCCCTTTGGGATAGTATTTACCTTCAGGATGTTGTTTTACGACAAACTGGTCGGGACACTGAAATTCTAGGAGACATGAAGTGAAGGCCTAAGTGCCCTTTTGGTTCAATGATTGGTGCTCTGGAGACCAGTATAAACCACCTGTTCCTTTGGAGCAGAGGACGGGAAGGGCAGAGAGGAGACCACAGAGTCCTCCCGGAGACAAAGTGAGCGTCGACCAGGCACACTCCGTCCTCCACAGAGAGCACCGTTGCCCCCTGGAGGCTACACAGTCGCTTATTTAAAGTCTTACATTTTAAAGTCACCTGGTGGTACCCAGTGTGCCACAGCAGACACCTGATTGCTACATGAACCGATCGAGCGGTGGACCACGTGGGGAAGCCACGACCTGAAGGCCATCATGTGCACAGGGCCTCAGGGTGGGAGCGGGCTGCACCCCGGAGCTGGGCTCGGCTGCTGCCACGTGCCTGCTCTGCACACTGCACCCCTCACCCCACAGGATCTGCCTGCTCCCAGCATGCTGCACCCTTCACCCCGCAGGATCTGCCTGCTCCCAACACACTGCACCCCTCACCCTGCAGGATCTGCCTGCTCCCAGCATGCTGCACCCCTCACCCCACAGGATCTGTCTGCTTCCAGCACACTGCACCCCTCACCCCGCAGGATCTGCCTGCTCCCAGCACGCTGCACCCCTCACCCCATAGGATCTGCCTTCCCTTGGCAGCAGGTCCTCCAGGAATGATGGATTTCACGTAGATCCCTCTGTAGAGCACACTTGTGTTAATGCCGCCCTGGAAACATAATGTGAAACTCACTGCCCACCTGCCCACTCCTGGAGAGCCTCCCCAAACTGCATGACCACGAGTCCCGTTTGCCTGCTCCTGTGTCGTCACCTCACCTCCATGTGACACCATCTTATATATTGACTCATCTGCTTGTAACACCCATGAGCAGTAAGGTCAGGTACTCATAAGAAGTATAGCGATTCGCGCGGAGTGAGGGAGCTGTGCTGTCTCCAGCCCCGGCAATGGCCCATGGCAGGTGCTTGCAAATCAGAGCTGCCTCAATGCACCACACTGTCTCTCCATCAGCAACAACCAACATAGGTGGACACGGCAATGGGCTGGTGCCTGGCACATCCAGGGCCTGGTGCCCAGCATGTCCTGTATGTTTGTGTGTTGGTTTGTGGATTCAAAAGTAGAAAAAAGGTGCTTTTTTAAGCTTAATAGTTGATCATGAACATCCGTCCAGATCACTAGATAAAGATGGAACTCTTTCTTCTAATCAGTGGGATTACATCGTTCCTATACAGTGTTTTCCTCCCTCCTCCAGGGTCTACCCGACAGAGCAAACCAAATGCAACGCATTCACCCTGAGCCGGACCTTGTCCCAGCCTTGGAAGTGGGAGCACCAGCCTCTGTCATGACCCTTTTCTGGATGACTGTGGATTAGCTCTCTTACCTTTGGGCTTCTGCCCCTCCAGTCTCACCCCTGCTACCCTCTCCTTGTTGCCCACCGTAACCTCAAAGACCCACCACCCAATCCCACCCACACCGCTCGTCCCAAGTTTGCTGTGTCTCCCAGGGGTTTCTGAACTCCCACCCACACTAAGGTCCCCACCAACTTTTTTGGTTCACCCATTTCCCCTGGGCTGCTTTTACTGATGAGCACATTATCAGAGTTTCCGCAGGCGTGGGATGCTCACCAAGGTCCAGATGAGCATCTTACTGAGTGTTTCCTCCCGAGCTCTCCTAATAACACTTACAGTTGCGCTGAACCCAAGGGTCCCATCTTCTTCAACCGGGTCCACAAAGTAGATTCCACTGGCACTGGTTTCTGAAAACCAGCAAAAAGAACCAGCATCCTGCCCCAAAGAAACAAAAATTGAAAAAGCAGGAGGACACTTGCCTCACCTACGCAGATGACACCCATTAGCCCTCACTGCCCTCCGGCGTTGGCAGCACTGCGCAACAAAAGGGGCGTGAGCTTTTGGCTGGGCCGGAGGAGATATGTCCCCTGCTTTATCAGCTCCTCCCTCGGTGACCCTGGACTGCTTTCATAGTCTCTCCATTCTTGGTTTCCAGTCCACAGAAATGGAACGAGAGCGCCTCTTTTAACTGTGACTGTGAATGATGCCCAGCGCATAGCAGGGACTCAAAAATAGTAAGTCCCCTCCTGCTTCTATTCAAGATGCAAATATCATTATAAGAACTGAGTCATCAGGCACTTCCTGGTAGCTTCACATATGACACCCGCCCAGTGATGGCATGCTTCGTACCAGACACACAGCAGCTTCATGAGCAGAACAAAACCTGAAGAGGACCTTCAGTCATCCCCAGCAAGAAGCTGCGCTGGGTTCTTCTTTACAACGGATGAATCCTTGAGAGGATACAAGAGAAGAATTGTCTATAACGTGCCAGGCATTTGCTTGATATCGTGACAGTAACCAGGTAGGATTTGTTTATGTATTTGTCCAATCATGCTGCAACGTTAATTGAGCACCTATTATGTGCCAGGCACCGTGCAAGGTGCCAGGGAGATGGCAGTGATCAGATAGGCCTGCCCATATCCAAGGACTATCTAGTGGGGGAGAGCGTTCATGAACCGTGCCCAGAATGTGGGGCCACAGATATTCCCAGCTTTCTGTCCTATCTGCTTTGCTTAGCAGCTTCCTAGTCCACCAGGTTGGAAAACATAATTAACACAAAGAAAATTAAACAGAATAAAGTAAGCTAAAAAATGATCGGTTCAGCAGAAGCCCTCTGTGCCCAACTTCCTAGAAAAGGGGTCCTTCCAAGGGCAGCCCAGGGTGAAGGTTTCCGCTCGGAGTCTCCTGCTCAGATTCAAATCCCAGCTCTGCCACACTCATTCCTGAGAGACCACAGGTATGTTCCTTTCCCCTCTGTGCCGCAGGTAACCCGCCTACAAAGGGAATGATGATCGGAATTACTCAGAGGCTGGCCATGCAGCTTACGCGAGTTACACATCCAAGTGCTCGGGCCCCTGCCTGACACATGGGTGAGCCCTGCATAAATGTCCAGTTAGCATGATTCTCTTGACCCCACATGTGGCTCTTCATGCGACACACTGTCCAGGGAGCACCACAGCCAATGAGGAAAGAACTAACATTCTCAGAGCCCTACTGCGAGCCGGTCCTGGGCACCTTTTCCTCCGCATCTCTGTACGAGGCATCATCGCCTCTAACACAAAACACAAACATGGGGTGGAGCGCTTCCAGTCGAGATGGCAGCACAGGCCCTGGCTGGTGTGGCTCAGTTGTTGGAGTGATGTCTCGTGCACCGAAAGATTGCAGGTTTGGTTCCCAGTCAGGGCACTTACCCACACTGTGGATTTGATCCCCAGTCAGGGCGAAATCAGAGGAAATATATCCTTGGGTGAAGAATAAAAAAAATTTTTAAAGATGGCCATGTAGATAAACATAGTACTTGGAACCTCCCACAGCCACATCAAAATTAGAATTAAACTGCAGATAAACCATCATTCAGAACCAGCTGGAACCTAGGTAGACAGAAGTCTTATAACTAAGGACATAAAGACGAAGCCACATCAAGACTGGTAGGAGGGACAGAAGAGGAACGGGCTGGTGCCACGTCCAATGTGGTGGATAAACACTGAACGGAGTATCTCCCCTGCAGAGGTCTCGCCCTCGGCCCACGGGGTCTCAGCCTCATACCAGCCCCCCAGCCCAGGCTTCCAGTGCTGGGAAGAGAAGCCCCCATAACTTCTGGCTGTGAAAATCAATGGGGACTGTGGCTGAATGACACAGAAGGAGGCTGGAGCCTTAGACATTCCTCTTAAAGGGCCCATGCGTGGACTTACGCAGACTCACTGGGAAAAGGCTGGAGGGGTGAGGCTTCCAGGCAAAGTGCTAGCAAAGACCATTGTTTCTTTGCTGAGCCCTCCCCGCACAGAGCCAGCAGGCGGGCATCATATCTGAGTCTCCATCAACGTGGCTGACACTGTTAACCCCATGGGTGATTTCATGAGACCCTGCCCCACCCAATCTTTGGACCTACCCAAGTCCTTCCTAGTGGCTTTTTCACATAAATGGCCTGTCTTGTCTCATGCTGCAAATTTTCCCAAAATCTCTCAAACAAGCAGCATCTGGCCTTGGTGTGCCCCATACCTCTTGCTAAGTAGCCTCAGCCCATCATTAGCAGCAGACAGCCATGGTTCACAACTCAGCCTTTCCTGGTCTTCTCCAAAGCCAGCACAAGTAACAGCCATCTGCACAGTACTTTGTAGCTCATGCCAGGTAGCCCCAGGTAGGGCACAAGTGACAGCTTACCTTGGCCTGCACCTCCTGGGAGGCCCCAGAGCCAGCACACCTGGTAGACAGCTTCAGACCAAGCTGAAGCACCACCCAACCATCTCATGAGCAACACACTCAAGGAGTGGACTTGGCAGGTCCCTGAGCCCCACTGAAATGAGTTCTTCTCTGTGGGGTCTGCCCCCGCACAGCAGATTCTCCACAGTGGTCACAGCCAGTCCTCAAAGCTGATTGGCCTGGGAGTAAATCCCTCCCATTGATTTGTCAATAGCAATCAAGGCTCAACTACAACAGGAGGGTGTGGGGCCCACCTGGAGCACCCAACTCAGGTGACCCTAAAGCCTTTGCCACTGGCCCCTGCAGGGCACCTATTACGTAAAGCCTCTCTACCAAGACCAGGAGATGTAGCAGCTCTCCCTAATATATAGAATCAAACACAGGGAGGCAGCAAAAACAAGGAGATTAAAAAATATATATATCCCAAATGAAAGTAGAGAACAAAATTCCAGGAAAAAAACTAAACTAAATGGAGACAAGCAATCTACTAATGAAGAGTTCAAAACACTGGTTATAAGGATGCTCAATGAACCTAGAGATAAGTAGAGGAACTTAGTGAGAACTTCAGCAAAAAGAGAGGAAACATAAAAATGGAGTTAGAAAACACAAAAAAGAACCAGTCAGTAAATGAAGACTACACTAATTGAAATGAAGACTATATTACAAGAAATTAACAGTATAGTAGATGAAGCAGAGGATCAAATCAGAGATTTGAAAGATAAGAAAGCTGAAAACACCCAATCAGAACAGCAAACGGAAAAAAGAATCCAAAAAAAATGAGGATAGTGTAAGAAGTCTCTGGGACAACTTCAAGTATACCAACATTTGCATCATAGGGGTGCCAGAAGGTGAAGAGAGAGATCAAGAAATTGAAAACTTATTTGAAACAATAATGACAGTAAACTTCCCTTACCTGGTAAAAAGAAATAGATATACAAGTTCAGGAAGAGCAGAGAGTCCCAAGAAAAGATGAATCCAAAGAGGCCCACACCAAGACACATCATGATTAAAATGAATCTTAAAAGCAGCAAGAGAAAAGCAGTTAGTTACCTACAAGGGAGCTTCAAAGAGACTGTCAGCTGATTTCTCAACAGAATATTTGCAGGCCAGAAAAGATTGGCATAAAATATTCAAAACAATGAAAAGCTAGGACCTACGACCAAGATTACTCTACCAGCAAAGCTGTCATTTGGAATTGAAGGACAGATAAAGAGCTTCCCAGACTAGAAAAAACTAAAGGAGTTCATCACCACCAAACCAGTATTAAAAGAGTTAAAGGGTTTTCTTTAAGAAGAAGAAGAAGAAAAAAAATAAAAAATTTGAATAATAAAATGGAAATAAATACATACCTATCAATAATTTCTTTAAATGCTTCAATTCTTCACCCCTGGCTGAATGGATAGGAAAACAATGCTTTTACATCTGCTGTCTACAAAAGACTGCATTCAGGTGGAAAGACACACACAGACTGAAAGTAAAGGAATAGAAAAGGATATTTCATGAAAATGTAAACAAACTAACTAAAAAAATGGCATAGCAATACTTATACCAATCAAAATAGACTTTAAAACAAAGGCTATAACAAGAGACAAAGGAGGACCCAGTAATTCCACTTCTGGGTATTGATATGAAGAACCCTAAAACACCCAGTCAAAAAGACATGTACATCCATATGTTCACTGCAGCATTATTTGTAATAGCCAAGATATGGAAGCAACCTGAGTGTCCATCAATAGATGAATGGATAAAGAAGTGCATATATACAATGGAATATGGTTCCGCCATAAAAAAGAATGAAATTTTGCCATTTGCAACAACATGGATAAATCTAGGGGATATTGTGCTGCGTGAAATAAGTCAGACAGAGAAAGACAAATGCCAGATAATTTAATTTATATATGGAATCTATAAAACAAAATAAAAGAACAAGCAGAACAGAAACAGACTCATAGATACAGAAAACATTTTGATGGTTACAGGATGGGAGGGGGTTGGAGGATAGGTGAAAAGGAGAAATGATTTAGAAGTACAGATCGGTAGTTACAGAATAGTCCTGAGGATGTAAACTACAGCACGGAGAATATAGTCAATAATATTGTAATCACTATGTATGGTATCATACGGGTACTAGAGTTACCAGTGTGATCACTTTGTAAGTTATATAAATGTCTAACTACAGGGTTTTACAACTTAAACTAATACAATATTGAATATCAGCTGTAAGTAAAAAATGTATTTGTTAAATCTGAGAAAATAAACTGAGGTTGAGAGAGGTGGGGTAACCTGGCTGCGTGGAACAGAGCCCCCGCAAGAGAGAGAAGGCACACACTCAACCTGGTTAACAGGAGTGCTCACAAAGGATGTTGCAACATTTGGAGAAATCACAGGTGTTAGCAACATTTAGAGAAACCAACAGGGAGAGCTAAGCGCCCTGGGCTAGCAGGGTCCATGCTGTCACCTTCTCCGAGCCTGAGGGGTGGAGGAGGAGTGGCCGCGGAACCTACAGCGCAGTCTGGGCAAAGCAAAGCGTGCTCTTCAGCGGAAGGACACTGCCAACCCGCACAGGCGGAGTGACCGTCCTGTCCTCACTCATCCGCCAGCTGCAGGCTTCTACCGGGTGTGAAATAATGGGGAAAAAAATTATATACAAATACACATAAATATCTGTTCTTCACCCCTGGCAAAGAGGTCCTTAAACCCTTGGATTTCCTAAATGATGAGAGAGCAGAGCATCTTTTGTTGTAATATTTGACCTTTCACCCGGATTGCTAACAGAGCTCTGAAACTTCTCAGAATTTACTGGGTAATAGAAGTGTCTTGATCTAGAGAGATAACCCTTGGTAGGTTCCCGGATGGCTCCAGGATGGCGGGTGGTCACCAGAAAGCCCTGACGGTGATTATAAGCTTAGAACTCTCCGCGGCACACCAGCCCCACCCTCTGGGGTGGGGGAGAGGAGCTGAAGACTGAGTTAATGATTGGTCGTGCCGATGTGATGAAGCCCCCATAAAAGTATGGGGTTCAGAGAGCTTCCACATTGTAAACGCGTCTTCTGTGAGCCAGAGGAATGGCACACCTGAGTCCACACGGACAACGGCTTCTGCTCTCTGGACCCTCGACTGCACCCAATGCATCCATCTCTTCATCGGCTGTTCACTTGGACCCTTTAAATAGTCTTCATAATAACTTGGCAATAGCAAGTACACTGCTTGCCTGGCTTCGGTGAGCTGTTCTAGGAAGTTATCAAACCTAAGGAGGAGGTTGTAGGAACCTCAGTTTGTAGCAGGTCACACAGAAGAGTGGGTAACGACTAGCAATTAGCATCTGAAGTGGGGGCAGTCCTGGGGGCTGAGTCATTAGCTCGTGGGATTATTGCTAACTGCAGGCAGTCAGTGTCAGAACTGCTGAAAAGCTGGCGCATCTGATGTCCCAGGTGTTGTGCGTGGGGTAGATTGTGAGAGTAATGGAAATAGGGAGATGTTTCTAGACACAGGGCTTCTTCAGGACAAAGCCAGCTGGGAGGCAGAGGAGGATAGTCTGCAAGTGTCTGCTTCACGGGGCCCAGAGGAAAGGGGAGAGGTCTGGAGGGGAGACAGGAGATTATTCCACTCGTGTCCAAGGAGACACTGCTGGAGGTGGCTCTGGGGCTGGGACAGGGCTCTGGGCACCCAGGTCCACCTGGTCTTCCTCTTGGTGTGGTTCTCAAGAGCCAAGCCGCTTAGCTGCCGCTTGAGGACCAGCTAGAGGCCAGGAATCTGAGGTGCCTGGTTGTCCATGCATTGCCCTGGGCAGCAAGCAGTGTTATTGCTGCTGGTAACCATTGTAGTTGTGCTGAGGGACACAGGAGCGAAAACACAGCCTGGGGCCCAGGCACTGTTCTGGGAGCTTTGCTTTTCCCTTGATGTTCTTTCAACAAAGGAGTTCAGGCACTTACTTCCATTCTGCAAAGGAGAAAGAGGGGGGCAGAGGGATTAAATAACCTCTCTGCACCTGACGAGAGTAAGCAGTGAGCAAGGAGGGACTTTGAAGCCAGGGCTACCAGGCTCCACAGCCTGTTCCCTTCAAATTCTCGAGCGTGAACCGCAGGTACAGTGACCTTCAGAGGGAGGGTGTGTGGCTGAGGCTTCCCCCTGGACAGTGAGCTGAGTTCCCGTCGTCTGTTTCCTCGGTGGTCTCTGCTGGTCCTGCGTGTGTGAGGAACAACAGCCCCGGGGCCGTCGCTCAGGCTGCCTGGCGAGAAGACCCCGGAGTTGGCTGCGCTGTTCTCCTCGCTCGGGGTGTTTCCACCAGCACCTGCACAAGCCAAAGAGAATCAACAGCTTGGCCAAGCTGGATCTCGGTGGCATCTCTGTGTCACCCTGGCAGAAGGACCTTTGACAGCTGCTGGGAGCCATGCGGTCTCACTCACGAAGGAGGATGCATTTAGAATGGAGGAAGGAGAGGTGCTGGGTGTGACTGAGAACACTAAGTGGCACCTGGTGACGCAACTGTGAAAACCAAGCTACTAGCTAATGCCAGCTGCCCCGTCGAGCTCTTACCACGTGATGAGCACCATCCGCACACGCGCACGCACGTACACACACCTAAACACCTTTCCGTCTCGTCGGCATGTGCACCAGGAAGGTGTTCTCCCAGTTCAATTCTGAGAAACAGTCAAAAGGACTAAGTAGGCTTCACAAGACCCCACAACCAGCATGTGGTGCTCTCTCTCTTTTTTTTTTTAATTTTTTTTTCCTTATTGATTTTTAGAAAGGAAGAGGGAGAGAGAGAGAAACATCGATGAGATAGAACATTGACTGGCCACCTCCAACATGCCCCACACTGGGAATTTGACCCACAACTCGGGCATGTGTCCTGACCGGGAATCGAACCAGTGACCCACACTGGCCAGGCTGTGTGCTCTTAAAGCAGCCTCTTCTGGACACCTGTAATCACCTGAGCACACCTGTAATCACCGTGTGATCCAAAGACCAACATGTCAGGTCTCTTTGGGGGACTTGATAATAATCAGATGGTGGACTCCCTGTAGGTGAAGGCTGGGCCACTGATTTCTGTTGACCCCAGGTCTGACCCTTCATCTGGCACAGAACAGAGAAAAGATCATGACATTGGGAATCAATAGGTAAAAGCGCAGGGAGGTACTTAATTCTGGACCTCGACTTCCTTATACCTGAAATAGTGATATCAGCTACCTTATAGGGTTGGTGAGGCCTAGAGGCTATTTATACACATGGAGAGAGAGAGAGAAGGAGAAATTACGGTTGGTACCTGGTAGAGCCTCAGTAAATATATTGACTGTCAATATGTTAATATTAGTTGCTCAACAAATGTGCGTGGGAGGAAGGCATACTGGTTAGACTTTCTTTCTATCTGGATACAGAAACATGCAAGTAGGCTCGCTGCTTTGATTCAGGCTCATTCGCACCCAGAGAAGTGCCCAGATGCTATGTTGAACTAACTTACTTTGCTGAATTTGATTTGAAGTCATTCAACCCTAAAGGTATTCAGGAGAGACTGGCCGGGCCGCTGCTCTGTGATGCCTTATTTCGGCCATTTCATTCAGATTCCACTGTCCTTCTGCTAGTGTGAGCATTTTTTATTTTCTTCCACACTCTCCAGGGGAAATGAAGACAGGATTTATGACTGAATTAAAAAGCCACGCTGTGCAAGGTGTGCCTGTCCACTGGAACACAAGCTGGGAGAACTGTGTGTGCAAGTAAAACTCAATCCATTGTAGACAGTGGTGGCCACTCATGGTGGGAATGTCATGTCTTGTCCCTGACCTCTCGTCTAGACCTCCTGCCCCAACAGCGGCCTTAGCAAGTGGAACTTCGTGGCCGCGAGCCTCTGCCCATGATGACCCAGCCAGCGTCACCTGGGAAGGTCTCCCTCCAGCAGTGGTAGAAGCTGCATAAGAAACTTCAGTTGTGCCCGACTGGTGTGGCTCAGGGGTTGAGCGTTGAACCTGCACCAGTAGGTCACCAGTTCGATTCCCAGTCAGGGCACATGCCCAGGTTGTGGGTCTGATCCCCAGTGGAGGGCATGCAGGAGGCGGCCAGTCGATGTTCTCTCTCATCGGTGTTTCTCTCTCTCTCTCCCTCTCCCTTCCTCTCTCTCTAAAATCAATAAAGAAAAATTTTTTAAAACAAACAAACAAAAAGGAACCTCAGCTGTGATGAGGCAAGTTTACCTGCTGGGGCAGGGGACCCACGGTGAGAAGACATCTAATCCACAGGCGTTGTGAAAAACTCATCGTCTAAGGTTCTAACATCAGGCTGTGGTTTGAATCTTGGGGCTGAAACACATGGCTGTTCATGCAGCGGATCAGCCTGGTCTTCTTTCTCCTCGCGTGGCTGGCAAGCGCCAAGCCACTTCGTTGCAGCTTGGGGACCAACCAGAGGCCACGATATGAGCTGCCCGGTTGTGCAGGCACTGATACCCTCTACCACAGCAGCCCAGCCCCGAGTGACACAATTAACCCTGGCTCAGCTGCATTATGTTTCTTGATCAAAAAAGAAAGGAAGGTTTTCTTACTCCTTCTAGTCCGAGCCCTGGGCGAAGCGTGGAGGGAAAAGCCTAGACATTGTGGGGAAACGGTGGCTGTGCTGGGAAGTCCCACCGACACCGAGAGCTGGGGCTGCGACTGTGGAAGCGCGGGGCAGCACCCGGGTCAGCTCCACCCAGGATGAAGGCACACGGCTGAGGTTCCACTGGCACACGTTCTGTGCCCACGGGCAGCTGCAGCGAACACGTCTGGTGATGGTGCGTTCATGTGCAAGAGTGGGTGTGTCTGGTTTCCAAAGGCTGAGCAAACGAGGTGCCTGCGCAAAGACCTAGACAACGCTGGCCGGGTGAGGGGAGCCATTTCTGCACACAGGGGAGCTCGGGCGCCGCCCCTCGACTTGGAGGAAGAAATGCACCAGCCCGGATTCGCAGGCAGCCTCCTTTTCAGGCCCAGGGTCATGCACAGTGGCCCCAGGTGACGGGGCGGAAAGGGTATGTTAACCTCCCTGCGTTACCTCCGTACTCCCAGACCTGCCCCACATACACATAATTACAGTATTGTTTGAAATGGCGATTGCTCTCTCTCTCTCATACTTACCTACGGATGAATAAAAGCATCCTTTTAAAACAGAAATGTCACTTTATTCGTTGACCTCTAACATGCCAAATCTCAGCCAAGGAAGCCGGCCCGCTCGCTATGGGAACTCGGCTTTGAGAACACTTCGCATTCTCCCCCCCACCGACCGCCACGCCTCAGCTCCAGCTACGTGGGGTCCCGGGGCAGCCGCGTTCAGGGAGAATGTGGGTGACAGACAGAATGTCCTCCCTGTCGTGCACGAAGAATGGGCAGGAAAACACACGACGGCTGTATGGACCGTGTCTAATAAGGAGTGGAGCCGGGGAGCCATCCTGCCCCCTCCGCACCACCGTGAGGAAAGCAATGCAAAAGCCCTCCAGGGACTCACAGACCCAGAACCCTGAGGTAACAGTGCACCCCTGAAAACAAAGAGGGCAAGGAAGGCTCACCGGCCTCTGAAAGCAGGGGAAGACGCCTTGACTGAGAAATGAGTAGCTCTGTGTTGTCAGGAGAATTCTGACTCATTCTAACAGCCATGTCGAATGGGAAGCCCTCCAAACCGATGTGATTCAAGGCTAGTATCTGCCCTCCTGGGAAAATTAAACGTCTCGATAATACCGTCAAAGATAAGAAGGAGCAGTTCCTCGGGCCGTTTACAAAGACATACCTGGTTTGATCGTTTTAGCCTTTTCAGCCGGTCCCCCAGGTAATATTGAGGATATAAAGACCCCAGGGTCAACTCTGCCTACATCTTCTCCCTCGTTAATGACAAAACCTGCAATCCAATGATATTTAAGAAGATGGTGCTCAATGACTTTGCAGTTCGGAGATCACACAACCACCAAGTGGCATCACTGATAGGTGTCCCTAGGTCCCCCGAGCCTCCAACGGCCCCTTGTACTCTGCCAAGTCCCCTGGGTTTGCCAGGAGTTAGTGAGCACAGCCCGAGCCAGGAACACAGCCCACCAGTGTGCACTGCGTGTGCTCAGAAGACAGCGAGAGAGGAAAGAGATGATTTTTAACAAGTACTGTCCCTGGAGTGTCTGTTTCCTATGTGGCTTCAAGGGTCTTCACATGAAGGAAACAGTGAAAAAATAGACTATTTTTTTCCATCACTAAGAATCTAAATATACTAGACAAAGGATGTTAGATGGTATTGAAGGGGGGAGACCTTTTCTATCTCGTACTCAGATTCTCACGATATGTACCCCAAAATCTCATCAGGCCTCAAAGGAAAACTTTGACCCAAAAGTCCCACTGCTTTCTAGGGACACTTAAAGGGAGGAAAAGACGGAACAGGGAGAGGAGAGGCAGAAGAGGGGAGTAGAAAAGTCCAGAAGGAAGCCGCCACGCACCCCGCCCAGAGGGAGAGACTGGGTCTCACCCACCAGGGCCCTCTTACCAAAACCACGACGTGGGTCCCAGTTCAGTGTCACATGTATGATATCTCGATCCAGTTCAGCTGTAAAGTCTGTTCTCTTATTTTGTGACCCTAAAACTAAAAAATGGAACCCTGCATTGTGCTTTTTTTTTTTTTTTTTTTATCCTCACCGGAGGACATTTTTCCATTTTTTGTACAGATGGAGTGGGAGGGAGAGAGAGGAACAGAGAGAGAGGGAGAAACATCGATGTGAAAGGGACACATCAAGTGGCTGCCACCCACACGACCAACCAGGGCCGGGGACAAACTGCAACCGAGGTACGTGCCCTTAGCAGGAACCGAACCCGGGTCTCTCCGGACCGCAGGCTGACGCTCTAACCGCTGAGCCAAACCGGCCAGAGCTGCATTGTGCTTTTCTGCCAAATTACCTGAGACCTAGTACCCCAGGGGTGCACAGGTGCCCAGCCACGCACGTGCACACGCTCAGCATGCTGGGAATGGATAACTGAGCAGGTGCTTCTATGAACTTGCTCAGTCAGCGTTGGCTCAGCAGGAGCCCAGGCAAGGGGGGATGGGCCACCTGCATTTTGCTGTATGACTTTTATAGCTATTTTTCCTGCATTGATCTTGGGACAAGACAGAACTTGAGCAGAGATGTACTTGATGGCAGTGAAAACTAAAACTGTCATTAGAGCACAGAGGTGAGACACCCAAGTCTTTCCCTTCTGGGCCTCAAATCGGAGGGTGGCGCCGTCCCATAGCCCAGAGCAGGTGCCCTGCCGCTCCTCCCCAGCTCGGGTCCTGGAGGAAACCAGAGCGGAGCCGTGAGGTTGTTCTAGGCCCGTTGGAGTCCTGGGGCAGGCACGCTAGTGCCCGACAAGACACGGGAAAATTGTAAACGGTGCCCCACCGCCCAAGGCTTTCCTCATCTCTGCCTCCCCAGGGGCCATGGCGAAGCCTGGCAAACAGTTCGTGGTAGAGCCGCTGGTGGTAGTTCAGATGCAGTCCCCACACTGAGCATGCTCGAGGAGTCGAAGTATGTTTCTGGAATCTCCCTGTCTTTACACTTCTCGAGGGACTTGCCCAGGGGGTTAGGACAGAAGGTAGCGGCGGGCACCCTGTGTGCGCTTCCGGGTGAGCATAGGGAGGCTCTGGGCTGCGAGAGGAGCTGCAGCTGAAACGGACGATGCCTTTCTCCGAGCACACTGCTCCCCAGCAGGGGCCTCAGCGGACCGAGTGCCGGGAGCTTCACCGACAGCCCCGCGTGGCAAGTGCACACAGCCAGCCCCGCCGACGGCAGACTGTTCCCGACCAAATGCAGCTTTGAAAATAATTTTTTTAAAACAAAATGATTATAAACACTACTGGGGAAATGAATTGAAGTGGTGGCAAATATTTCAAGCCAGCATCATTGGTAAGGTTGCCCTTACTCCAAACCTGGTCCACGGCCTAGCCCACCGCCTGGTCCTTACCTGTGCACACACTCCGAACAGGCAGCCCAGAGAGAGGGCCACACGGCATTGGCTTCTGGACCAAACAGGCGCTCTCCAGCTGTTCCCGCCGGTGTGGGGCTGTAGGGAAAGAGCGAGATGGGATCAGATGTCCCCGGGAGGCGGCCTCCTGGCATCTCCTGGTCTGGATGGACGGTGGCCTGACGCGGGCGGCCCTCAGCCTGATCCGCCAGCAGCTCTGGGAACAGGCCGTCCAAGGGCTGCTTATGAGAGGGCACCAGAAGAATGGCTTCGGGGTCTTTCTTTCTTAGGGGGCCCTACAGTCACCCAGGCCTCCTCTGAACCTCCCACTTTCTCTCCTTTGGATTGGATCTGTGGCCTTCCAAACTTCCATTTCCTTAACCACCAGGTAAGAATCATGTTCCCAGGCTTGCGGTGGCTCCACGCTGAGTACAAAGCATGAGTCTTTCAGGTGGTTCTGATTTTTATTGTTTGTTTTGTTTTCGGCTGGGCTGGGCATGCTCCCGCACCCCAACCAGCGATGTGCTTGAGGGCTCCATGCAGAACATACCTACTTGATCCTTGAAAGCATATGAATTGGCTGTCCCCTGATCATAACCAGCTAAAAACAAAACCTTTCATGCAGGTATTCAGATGGCTTTTGCTGAGCCAGAATTGTAGCAAGTAAATAATGTTCAAGGCCCTAGGAGCATAATGAATTAGGTGGGAACCCTATCCCACCCCAGTCAGCTCTGCATGAGACAAGCTACATACGGGGAAGAAGAAAGTAGAGAATGAGAAGAAAGAATAGATACAAAGTCACGGGTGCTCAGAGCCCTAGGATGAGCTGGGTAATCGGGGCCACACAGGCAGCTCTGTGGTTTCAGAAGGATGAGGACCAGCACATACTCCAGTCACAAAGGGCAAACACGGTGTGGTCCACTCACCTGAGGGGCCTGAAGTAGTCACTTCATAGAGACAGACAGTAGGAGGGCTGTTGCCAGGGGTTCAGGGAGAGGGAAATGGGGAGCTGTTTAATGGACATAGTTTCAGTTTTGCTAAATAAAAAGAATTCTGGAGAGTGGTTGCATAATCACATAACTAATAATTAATGCTACTAAATTGTACATTTTTAAATGGTTAAGATGGCTGCTTACTTGAAATGAAATAGACAAACCTTTGGCTAGGCACTAAGGAAAAGAGAGACAGGGCTCAAATAAACAAAATGAAAAATGAAAGGGAAAAGTTACAACAGTCACTACAGAAATACAACGGACCATACTACAATACTATAGAAGACTATTTGCCACCAGATTCAATAACCTACAAGAAATGGACACATTCTTACAAATATAAACCTTCCTGGACTGAATCACAAAGAACTGGAAAATCTAAATAGACCAATCAACAGTAAGGAGATTGAAACAACCATCAAAAACCTCCCAAAAAGTACAAGCCTAGGGCCAGATGGCTTCACTAGTGAATTCCACCAAACGTTCAAAGAAGATTTAACACTCATCCTTCTCAAATTCTTCCAATAAACTGAAGAGTCAATATTTTCTAACACATTTTATGAGGCTATCATAACCCTGATGCCAAAATCTGTCAAGGATAACATAAGAAAACTACAGACCAAAATCTCTGATGAAGACAAATGCAAAGATTGTAAACAAAATAATAGCAAATCAAATACATCAATTCATTAAAAAGATAATTCATCACAATCAAGTGTGGTTCATTCTAGGGGCACAAGGATGGTTCAGCATTTGCAAATTGATCGATGTGATACACTATATTCACAAAATAAAATAAATTATATGATCATATCAATAGATGAAGAAAACATTTGATAAGATACAGCATCCATTTATGATTAAAACACTCAATAAAATGGGTGTAGAAGGAAAGTACTTCAACATAATAAAGGCCACATATGACAAACCCTCAGCCAATATCACACTCAATAGTGAAAACTGAGAGCTTTTCCTCCAAGATCAGGAACAAGACAAGAATGCCCATCTTACTACTGTTATTCAACATAGTAGTGGAAGTCCTAGCCAGAGCAATCAGGCAAGAAAAAGAAATGAAAAGCATCCAAATTGGGGATGAAAAGTGAAATTGTCATTTTTGGCAGATAACGTGATTCTTTATGTAGAAAACCCTAAAGACTTGACCAAAAAACTATTAGAAACAAATAAAAAAATATAGCAAAGTTGCAGGACACAAAATCAATGTGCAAAAATTAATTGTGTTCCTACATATCAACTATGAAATTTTAGGGGAAAAAATGAATAAAATACCTAGGAATAAAGTTAACAAAGGATGTGAAGGACCTACATACTGAAAACTACAAAACAGTATTAAAAGAAATTTTTAAAAAATGATAATAAATAATGGAAAGATATTTCGTATTCGTGGATTGAAAGAATCAATATAGCTAACATGTTCATATAACCCAAAGCAATATACAGATTTAATGCAATCCCTATCAAAATCCCAATGACATTTTTTAAAGAACTAGAACAACAATAAAAAACTATCAGATTTATATGGAACGACAAAGACTCCAAATAGCCAAAGCAATTCTGAGGAAAAAGAACAAAGCTAAAAGTATCATACTCCCGCCCTGGTCGGTTTGGCTCAGCGGTTAGAGCGTCGACCTGCGGTCCTGAGAGACCCGGGTTCGGTTCCCGCTAAGGGCACGTACCTCGGTTGCAGTTTGTCCCTGGCCCTGGTTGGTCGTGCGGGTGGCAGCCACTCGATGTGTTCCTTTCACATCGATGTTTCTCTCTCTCTCTCTGTTCCTCTCTCCCTCCCACTCTACCTGAACAAAAAAATGGGAAAATGTCCTCGGGTGAGGATAAAAAAAAAAAAAAAAAAAAAAAAAGTATCATACTCCCTGACTTCCAATTATATAACAAAGCAACAATAATCAAAAAGCATTATACAGAAAAACAGACACAAAGACCAATGGAACAGAATTGAAAGCCCAGAAATAAACTCACAATAAACATACCTCGGTTGCAGTTTGTCCCCGGCCCCAGTTGGGGTCATGTGGGTAGCAACCAGTCGATGTGTCGCTCTCACATCGCTGTTTTGCTCTCTTCCTCCCTCTCTCCCTCCTGCTCTATCTGAAGATAAATGCGAAAATGTCCTTGGATGAGGAAAAAAAAAAAGAAAACCTCTTCAATACATGGCTCTGGAAAAACTGGAGAGCCACATGCAAAAAAATAATAAAGCTAGATTGCTTTGTCACCAAACACAAAAATTAACTCAAAATAGATCAAAGACCTAAATATAAGACCTGAAACAATAAAAGACATAGTAGAACACATGCTAAACTTATGAACCTTGGTCTTAGAGAGGATTTTATGAATTTACCCCAAAGGCAAGGGAAGAAAAGGCAAATATAAATGCATAGGACTATATCAAACTGAAAAGCTTCTGCACAGCTAAAGAAATCGTCAACAAAACAAAAAAGCAACCATGGGAGAAGGGGAAGAAGATATTTGAATGGGAGAAGATATTTGCAAACAACACCCCCAATAAGGGGTTAACATCCAAAACATATATTAAAAAATCATACAACTTAACAACAATAACATTAAGAAAATCCAATGAAAAACTAGGCAGAGGACCCGCCACACCATTTCCATCCTGACTCTGGACCATTCAGTCACGTGCCCCGGGCTCCAGCCCAACAGCACGAACTTCTGCTGCCCACACAGGCCCTGTGTCCGTCACTTTGACACGCCATGGGGCAGGCGCTCAGCCAAGTCTTCTAGCAGGAGCACGTGGGCCTGGGCTCCCAGCATTCCTGCACACCTCCCCCTCGGCCTGCTGGTGTCCCCTCCCCTGGGAACGAGCCTCGTCCTGGGAGCCATCACGCTGCTGTCTCTGTGTCTGCCTTAGCGGTAACCCATTGTCCCCTTTGCAGGGACTGTCCTACTGTCACCCTAGGGACAGGAAGGGCACCAGTATCAGGACTCTCCACCCAGTCAGCCCGTGCTCCATATGTTATAACACACGGACTGCCCACAGCCACCCGGCGGGGCGGGTTCGGCTACTGTCACTGGAAAAACGAGGACACTGAGGCAGAGGTGTGTCAAATAACGTGACCAAGATTACAGAGCAGTGGACACCTGAGCAGGTCTTGGTGATGGATTTCACAATGCTGGCTTCGTTCCAGAATTCTGTCTACAGGGGACCATGGCCGACGTCTTTCACCAACCACAGCAGAGAGGCTGCCCGTCTCATCCGGGACTCAGATCAACAGGGCCAGAGGGTGTCAGCCCGTGGCCCACCCCAGACTCTGCACACAGCGATGGTGGCCAGTTCAACGTGAGCTCAGGCCCAGCTCGTACTGACAATATCCTGCTTCAAATTGGGTCCTCCTGTCCTAGAGTTTCTTGTACCCCTCGGCCACCCCACCTCCACGGCGCCCACCTTGCCCAGAAGTACAGGAGAGGTCATGCTTCCCAGACAACCTTCCACCGGCGGGGGCTGGGAGCACGGCACGCGTGTCCACCCTTCTGTCCTTCGGATGAACACTTCCGGAGGCCTTCGGTACAATCTTGTTGAAATCAGCCCTGATGCTCACAGCCACCTTGAAGACACTGGCCCAGGCCGTTCTTGACCTCCCCTTCTCCCTGCCTCCCTCTCCACGCTCGCTCCACAGAATCCCCTCCACAGAAACCACCTGCACCAGGTCATTGTCTTAGGCCGTGCTCTGGGGCCTTCCCATGACCAAGGGCCCTGGAATCTCCTTGTCATGTGAGGGCTCATAGTGACCTCTGAACTGAGGTATTAACCGTTGTAACAACTTGGCATTTGTAAACTGAAATTAGAGTGGTAGCAGAGTTTACTGAGGACCTTGACTCAGCTTTCTGTTCAGAAGGCTGGCTTCATGCCATGCCGAGCCTTGGAAGCCCGCTGTCCTCAGGAAGGACACTCGGCAATCGGCACATCTGAAGGTGACCTTGAGCCAGTCCCTGCTTCTTCAGGCTTTTCAACAAGGAAGTGCTGTAAAGTACTACTACCCTGAATGACAGGTTAGAGATGGCCACACGTTTTTTGACAGTCGGCATCAAGAGGTGGAGCCTGTTTCTGCTACCCTTGAATCTGTGTTGACCTGTGACTTCCTGACCAAAAGAGTGTGGCAGAAGGGACACTGTGCCAGCTCCAGGCCCAGCCTGGAAGATGACGGGCGGCCCCACCCTGGGCCCTTGGGGCCCTGATTTGCCACATAGAAGCCCGACTACCTTGTTGATGGCGCCGCGTGGAGAGTCTGAGACGGCTCAGCTCTGCTCGGGGAGTGAGGGTCTCAGCGGGGCTCACCGTCCCAGCCATCCCCATGGGGCCCGGCACGTGAGTGCAGCTGTCGTGAAGCCTCAAAACCAGTCCTGCTGACCAGTCCAGTGGCTCTGGTCGGCAGCACACGAGCAGAAGGTTCAGCCAGCTAAGCCGTGCTGGGTTTTCTGACCCAGAAAACTGTGGAACAGGCGCAGAACGGTGCTTGGTTTCCGCCACTGCGCCTTGGGGTGGCGTGTTCCACAGCCAGACACATCGATAGCTTCTCTTCATCCTCATTTCGTCTACAGTTCATGGTGATGTATATTTGCATCAGCAGAACGTGGGGCAATCATTTTTAAGAATGACTTTAAGATGTCGGAGTCCAGATGCATCATCTGTACCCTCCTGCTGCGCAGACAAATAACTCACCCGAAAACAGCTCCCTCAGCAGCCTGCGGGGTCCCAGCCGCCGCCGACTCAGAAGCCCGCCAGTCAGTGCAATCCAGTGTCTAGGCTAGTTTTAAATTTATGAATCATGGTGTCATAATGTCAGGTTGTGTTCATAAGCTCATTATTTTCACTTGCAAATGAAATCACAAGTAATTGTTAATAGAGAAAGTGGCCTAGAGCAGAGGGTAGGAGGACCGACTGCAGGGCCAGCTGCCTGTCAGAACCCCAGATGCGGCTCCTCCCCTGGGAGCTGGTAGAACAGGAGACGGCAGAGGGCCGCGAGGGCTAGCTGACGTGCACCGGTGCTTGGAACAGTACCTAGCTCACGGTACGACCAAACAGGCCTACTGCAACCTATTTCTTTTGTCCTCTACGATTTCCTAGTCACCTAGTTCTTTCTCCACCTAACAACAGAGCAATGTAGGGAAACGGGCTGTCTGCCCTGCAGGGCTGAGCACAGACTTTCCCACAGTCAGCCTTCAGGGAACCTTCGCGGCACTAGGTGATGATCCCCAGCGAACGTGTGCTTCCCTGGGACATCTGACATCCCTTAGCCTGTTTCTTTAGGGACACGTACTCCGAAGCACCGAGTGCATGGTGGTGGGCCCAGAGAACAGGTGTGTCAGGCCCACCTGCCTCCAGTGCCCAGTGCTCCCGTGTCGCTGCGGGTGTCCACGGTGACGCTGTCCAGTGACGTGCCCAGCAGGCCCTCGGCAGGGTCCTCCAGCCTCCATGCAGGTAGCGTGTCTTCTGAGCATTACAATCTCTGAGTCCGAGGGAGCGGCTTGGACTGCGCCAGGTGTGCAAGACTCCAACTGGCCATCTGCACACACTTATCACAGCCTGAAACGTGGCAGAAAAAGATAAAGAAATAAACACAAGAATGACGCTGTCCCATCGCTCTTGTGGCAGCAGCACAGCCAGCCCCACCTTCTGTGCTCTGCCCCCTTTTCCTGCTGTTTCCCTCATGCGAACTCTGCAGCTCCTGGGACTGGCCCTGAGATGGCCCGGTCTCCCTAATTAGCGCTGGCTAATGAGAGAAACCTCGGAGACATGAGAAGGGCGGCCGAGACGCTCGCCCTCCCCGTGGCTGGCAGGGCTCTGACCCACGGTTCTGATGTGCGCCCCTGGTGGCACCCACAGCGACGATGACCTGCCACCACCCTTCTCTTGCTGCCTTTACAGAACTGTCCTCACAAACGCTGTGTTTCAGACGGGTTTTCAAATTACCCGAGCTCCCAAATCAGGCTTCGTCCTGTGGAATAGATTCTTCAGTCTCTCTACAGTTTAGTTCCCTGGTCTTAATATTTAGATTGAGGTCAGATTTTTTGAAATATGTATACATATCAGATGCGTTGAGCCCCCAGCTTTGACGCCCTTCCCCTCTTCACGTAGAAAGACGGAATAAATGCTCCAATGAAGCCCCTAACTGGAGACCATGAATGGCGACTCTCAGGGCCTCACTCTTCATGTCGTTCAGAAGGGACGGATTTGTTACATAGATCCTGCTAGTGAGCGAGCCTTTCTAGAAAGCCCGTTTGTATTTGTAACAAGGAAACTAAAGACTATATTGTGGGCACCTGCTCCCTGCTGAAACCCAGAAGCGTGCCCAGGCACCTGAAGTACCCCACTGTGAGGTGTCCGGGGCCCACATTCCCCAGGCAAACCCCACCTTCCCTGCAAGGTGTCTGGCTCATTGCGAGGGTTCTGCCTACTGAAACAGGTAGACTTTCAAAAATGCTTTATGAGCCCGGCCGGTGTGGCTTAGCGGTTGAGCATCGATTCATGCAACAAGAGGTCGCCGGTTCGATTCCCGCTCAGGGCACATGCCCAGGCTGTGGGCCTGATCCCCAGTGGGGGTCATGCAGGAGGTGACCAATCAGTGTTCTCTCTCATCGATGTTTCCATCTCTCTCTCTAAAATCAATAAAGAAAAACTATTATAAAAATTTTTAATGCTTTTTGAAAACTTTCTATGTCTACGAGGCATTTGATATCATGATTTACATACAGCGAACAAGAAGAGAGGAATACAAGCAATTCAAATGGGACCTGCAGGTTTTGCATAAATGGCAACTTTTGCAAAATCTGTTCAGACACATAGAACAACAGCAACCTCAACACGAACAGCTCTCATTGCTGAATGCCCATTATGTGCCAGGCACAGTGGTGAGCACGTTATTTGCATTGTATCATTTATTTTTTGTATTTTTAATATGTTTTTATTAATTTTTTTAGAAACATTGATGTGAGAAACGTCAATTGGCTGCCTCCTGCATGCCCCCTATTGGGGATCAAACCCGAAATCCAGGCATGTGCCCTGACCGGGAATTGAACTGGGACCTCTCAGTCCATGGGATGACGCTCAGTCCGCTGAGCCACACCACCGTGCTGCATTGCATCATTTAATCCTCACAATAACCCTGGGGAGTAGATGTCATTATACCCATTTTACAGATGAGGAAGCATGAGGCTCAGAGAGAGTTCACAATGTCCTCGAGGTCCTACACTGGCAGAGCAGAACTCACACTCAAGTTGGCTGACCCACAGGGCACATGGGACATGGGCATACCAAGAACGCAGAGACAGCACAGGGGATCCCCCTGAGCCCTGCCTGGCCTTCGACCGCCAGGCCCAGAGACACTGTGAGCTTAGCTCAGTCATGGTGGACACTCATTCCCACGGGGGACACTCTAGGGAGAGAGGTGGTGGCTCAGGGAGGGATTGAAGGAAGCTTTGGCACAGAGGTTGAGGGTACAGAAAGAAGGGGCTGACCCCAGGGCAGGGGGGGCTCGGAAGGCAGCAGAGGGGAGCCCCAGTGGCTCCGGGAAGGGTTGTCCCCAGCAGGAAGCCAAGAGCATCCGGGCACTGGGAGGAGAGAGGCCACACAGTGAGGTCAGGGCCTGAGCATCCACACTCGGCACGGAGCGGGGCTGGTGGGACTGGCGGGGCTGTGTTACCATTGTCAGGCCATGGCCCAGGACTTCGACTGGCTAGACCAGCAGTGAAGGCAGAGCTGATTGGTAGGCAGGAGAGCCAGAGCTGAGAACCTTGCAGGAATGGAAGGAAGTGTCCCCCAAAATGCTCCCAAGACACCCCCGGCACGCCAAGGACAGCGGGTGGTTGCTGTCCACCGGCCGGAGGTGATTCACAGTGACTGCGGCACCAGGACAGCAGCTGGCAAATGGCCCAGCTGGTCTGGGGGCGAGCGCTGTACCCCAGGTTAGTTAGTGCTTCACGAGCACGGGAGCCAGCAGGGCCAAGGGCCACACAGAAGACCAGAGAGGGACCAGAGCCAGCCGGAGCAGCCCGCGGAAGGCCCGTGGAGCTTGCAGACACAGCGGTGAGAGAGACAGCCGTGGCCCCACTCAGCCTTCCTGAGTCCTGAACCTGTGCACCTGTGAAAACAGGTGCTCTTCTTCTCTCCCCAGGGAGCCAAGTACAACTAACTATACAGTAATATGCTTAATTGAGACCATTCACCGAAGAATGACGAAGAAACATTTGGGCAATGTTCAACTTCTAAACAATCAAAGAAATGTCAAATAAGTGATCGGTGAGAAATAATTTTATCTATCAAATAGACAAAGATGAACATGATAAAATCTGTTCTGGAAAGGGTACCGTGAAATGGGCAGGGTGGCACGGGGCATGGGAACCGAGGAAAGCGGCAAGGACCGCAAACACGCCCCAGCCTCGCTCGACCAGTGTGGCTCAGTGGCTGAGCGTCGGCCCTGCACCAAGAGGTTTCTGGTTCGATCCCCAGTCAGGGCGTATTTCCAGGTTGTGGGCCCGATTCCCAGTGGGGGACATGCAGGAGGCAGCCAATCAATATTCTCTCTCATCGATGCTTCTATCTCTCTCTCCCTCCCTTCCTCTCTCTCTAAAATCAATAAAGAAAAAAAAAAAAGCTTCACAATGGAGTACTTATGCAGCTGTAAGAAAGAAAGATCTCTTATCCTTTGAGACGACATGGAGGGACCTGGAAAGTATTATCCTAAGTGAAACAAGCCAAGCAGAGAAAGACATATCACATGATCTCACTTATTTGTGGAATATAATGAACATAACAGGCTGAGGAATGGGGTAGTTCCAGAGACGTGGAAGTGGGGTACAGACTGACAATCCCCAGAAGAGGGGGTGGTGGGGGAGAGATAAACCACAGAACTTATATGCATGTGTGCATGAACAATGGACTTGGACAATAAAGGTGGGGGCAGGGTGGAGAGGGAGGGGGAGGGAAGAATCAGTGGGTAAAAAAGGGGAAACATCTGTAACAAAAATGAATTAATTAATTGAAATTAAAAAGAAAAAAAGCTTTTTTAAAATGCCCCAGCCTTTGCACCCAATAACTATACTTCCAAAATCTAGCTTAAAGGGATTACAAGGTACAGAAAAATGTGTCTTTCCATGATGTTTATTGCAATATTATTTAGAATATTGAAGAATGAAAAACAACTTAAAATCATAACAGGGAAATGATGAAGAAAATGATGATTATATTTCCACACTAATCATCCATTCATTCAGAAAACCCTGCCTTGACCACCTCCCACTTGGCACCCTGTTCCATGCTGGAGCCATGAAGGCAGCGGACCCTGTCCCCGTCCTGCAGACTGGGGGCCGACAGGTCCAGAAGACAGGTGCAAAGATAGAGTGTGCACCAGAGAGGGAGTGGGCGACACCGAGAAGGGAGGACAGGGCAGCCAATGAGGACTGGAGAAATTTGAGCCCCTTGGAGAGCTGGGCCGACCTTGGTGGTCTGAGCTGGGCCCACCTTGGTGGTCTGAGCCGGGCCGACCTTGGTGGTCTGAGCCGGGCCGACCTTGGTGGTCTGAGCTGGGCCCACCTTGGTGGTCTGAGCTGGACCCACCTTGGTGGTCTGAGCTGGGCCGACCTCGGTGGTCTGAGCTGGGCCGACCTCAGTGGTCTGAGCTGGGCCGACCTCAGTGGTCTGAGCTGGGAAGGGCAGGCACAGCTTTGCAGGCAGAGGCCGTGCTGAGCACAGAGCCTCAGACTGTGGCATCCTGTGTGCTCAGCAGTCTAAGCCAGCAGGCAGAGCAGCTGGAAAGCAGGGCGAAGGGCTCACAGCACGAGCAAAATCAGGGCCAAACGGCGAGGCTGACGGGCCATCATGAGGCTGGGCTCGTCCCTACAGAGAGCAGAGAGCCACTGACAAGTGTTCAGTGTGGAAGGGAGTGACTGAATAGTCCTTTAGTCACTTGGAAGGCTGAGAGCAAGGTGTCTTTGGGGGAACATGCGATGGGGGGTGGGAAGAGGGGGTGCAGGTCCAGACCCTCCCAGCTTCTTACAAGGTGGATGGGTGGTCTTTTGAACAAAACAGACATCATGGTAGAGAAATGGGTGTGGAGGACGAGGTCAACTGTGGACACACTGAGTCTGAGGACTCTATGCGACCATCAGATGAAGGTGGTTGGTGAGAGAGTTTCTACTATGAAGAAATTTTTTAAAAGACAAAGAAAAATTGTTTAATTTTTCTAAAGAAGACTTACAAATGTCCCACAGGTCCCATCGTCACTAGTTGCCAGGGAAATGCAAATCAAAACCACAGTGAGTGTCCCCTCACACCTGTTAGAATGGCTGGCATCAATAAGGCAAAAGATAACAGGACCTGGAGAGGATGTGGACAAAGGGACCCCTCGTGCGCTGCAGGTGGGCACGTAAACTGGTAGCGTCACCATGGAAACGAGCATGGCGGTTCCTCAAAAACTTAAAAACATAACTACCGTATGACTCAGCAGTTTTACTTCTGGGTCTAGAGTTGAAGGAAGTGAAAACAGACTACTGGAGAGATGTCTCCACTCCCATGTTCACTGAAGCACTATTCACAGTGGCCAAGATATAGAAACAGCCTAATTCAACCAACAGATGATTGGAAAAAGAAAACGTGGTTCTATATACAGTGGAATATTATTCAGCCATTAAAAAGAAGGAAATCCTGCCTGTTGCAAGAATATATTATGTTTTTCCCATTTATAACCACAGAAGAAATGATGATTTGAGATCAACAGCAAATGCGATGCAGCCGGCACTCGAAGCCCAATCTCTCCTGAGAACACAGTGTCTACTCACCACCTGCAGCTCAGGGAGCATTCATCCGAGCGTCAAAGCCATGCTGGGCGGGGCAGAGGCCCAGTAAATATTTACAGGTCTTGGCCGAATTAGTGACAAACGTGTGCTTTTCCCCGGTGATGCTGCCTGTGATGGTGAACGTCTTCCGCTGACGGAAGCAAACACAGCCATTCATATCTTGATCACTCATGCCCATTAAGGCACAGCTGCCCAGAGAGTCATCCAACGCTGGGCCTCGGCTCGGTATCAAGGGTGCAGGCCTAAGAAGTGCATGGCACATGTGTCTGACGATGGCTCAATGTTTTTTTTCTGATTTAAAAAATAAATAAATCCCTCTTTTTTTTTTCCGTCACTCATAAGTTGAATGGTTGCTTCTCAGGTGATCTGCCAAGGTGTGCTAGTGAAAAGGATGTAAATGAGCCAGGTACTTGGCCCTGTGCAAGGACCGAACATAACCTTCGGTGCACATTTAAAGGCCATTGGATATGCATAGTTTTCATTGTTCAGACTTCCAGAAGTCGCAGACAAAATCTCAGCTAGCAGGGTCATAGAAAAGATAAAAGCACCGTGTATGTTCTCATGTTTCTTACAATATGAGCCAAGCTCTGTTCTCAGCGTTTTCTAGGTATTAATTCATTTCCTCCTCAAAGCTCAGAATGAGGGACGTCCTAACATCGTCCTTATTCTACAGGTCAGGGAACAGACCCCCAGTTCTTAGAATGCAGCAGGGATGGAGGTCACCTCACCACGAAACATTCGGCTACATTTATACCTTCAAGGCCCACATACAAAGCAATCACATTTGCACAGCTCACTGTTTTTTTGTTTTGTTTTTTTTATTTTCACCCGAGGACATTTCTCCATTTTTGCTCAGGCTGAGTGGGAGGGAAAGAGAGGAAGAGAGAGAGAGAGAGAAACATCCATGTGAAAGGGACACATCGAATGGCTGCCTCCCGCACAACCCCAACCAGGGCTGGGGACAAACTGCAACCGAGGTACGTGCCCTTAGCAGGAACCGAACTCGGGTGTCTCTGGCCTGCAGGTTGATGCTCTAACCGCTGAGCCAAACTAGCCAGGGCATTTGCACAGCACACTGGGAAAACTGGAGAGGATTATCTATATGGGGTTACCTATACGGAGCTTCATGAAAAAACTTCATGACTTTGGGAAATATAGACTTCTAAGAATAAATCACAAAGTCATAGAGATGACATTAAATATCAATTTATATATAACTTCCAAATAAAATCTATATTCTAGATGTTTCTATAAGAACGGTGAGTTGCTCCTATAAAGATAATTTTATATATGAGGCTAATGTTTGAAAAGACTCCCTGGAACCCCGCACCCTGTCTCATGTTGATCCCTTTTCATTCCTGAGAGTCTCCATTTCTAAGGACCATTCGCACAGTCAGACACTAGCAAAAGGCAGGTAACGGCTCGTTACATTTCCTCTGAGAAGCTCCTTTTTAACGTTACGCTAATTTTAGATAATTTGAGCATTCTCTAAATAGTCTTTTCTTTTATGGACAAGCTTAATGTTGAACCTTATTACACTAATGTGAATGGATTTTGAATCCAACTGGACTATCCTATATCTACTATTTTTTAATAATGTATTTTCTCAAACAGTTATAGATGCTGTCCTACTGGCCTTAAGAATTCTTCCTTAGTACTCAAATAATGACAGTGCCTAAACTCCAGGAGTGGGTCATTTTAGCCACACTTTTCCAAAGTTGAATATTTGCTAGGATTTCACCTGCTTGATCAGCACATGTTGATTAGCTTTCATACAGTCCTGATGATTTTATATCAAGTTTGTTCAAAAATTTTAGATGTCATTGTTTAAAATCTAATAGTTATTCTTTAATAAATCTGAAAGGAGAGAATCATTCACACACACACACACACACACACACACACACCCCTAAATCTTTCTTTTGCTCTTAAACTCTCAGCAAAACTCTCCTTTTGGACGTCGAGGGTCTAAGGCAGCGATTTGCACCTGGCGTGCCACAAGAATTTTTAAAACACGCAACATTGGACTATTTAGTTGGGGCACTGATTTCTTTAATCTCAAATTGTCAAATTAAAAAAATGACAACAGCCAACACAACAATAGCTGTCCAATGTGAATGAATCAAAATTATACCATTTTTTTTGCTAGATCAGAAAATCTACTGTAGTTTTTGATGTACCGCAGAATTTTTAGTAATGTCTATGTGTGTTATGAGATGGAAAAGGTTGAAAATCATTGCTCTATGGTTTTAAACATCACAGAGAATGGAATTCTGACGTCATTTCTTGGCATAAAGCTGAAAACGTTCTTGACTGTATGATGAGGATTTTTTCCCATCTTGATAAGATCATTTAATGAGAAAGTCGTATCTGCAGACAAGCATTCCCCTGGGCCAGCGGCTCTGTGAGCAGATGATGCAGAGGCTGGCCTCGGGGTTTCACACGAACAGGTGCGGCCAGTGCGCCCCTGACGTCACACGAACAGGTGCGGCCAGTGCGCCCGTGACGTCACACAAACAGGTGCGGCCAGTGCGCCCCTGACGTCACACATTTCCAAGCACCGGTTTCCGGTGCAGACAGCTCGCCCCCAGCAGCTGTGATGCTGCAGCTGCTGGTTCGCAGCCCAGTTTGGTTGCTTTGATCCATCTTTGCAGAACGTTCTTCCAGGCGGAGGCGGATTGGCCGGGAAGTTAAGCCAAAACTCCGGGCCTTCGCTTGGGTAGGCTACTTCCCAGGAGGGACCTTGGCAAAGTCATCATGTTTTCTTGTGAAGGGTGGAAAATATATGCTTTCACCACAATCACTTAAGGCTACCGACGCCTCTCTCAACCCCAGCTCTTCCTACCCTCGCCACGGTGGTGGGGAAGCAGATCCCCCGAGAAGCTGCGGCGAGAATATACCCGGTGTAGATTCAGGGATCTAGCTGTGTGGTTTGCAGTCTGTTCTACAATAATTTATTGCTGGCCATCCCCGAATACCCCTCCCACTGGGCCAGCTCACCCGAAGTCTCCGAGTGATCGGCGCCCAGCACCAGCAGCCTTCGGGGCGCACCGGGTGTGGGGGGCCCGGCTGGGATGTGGAGCCAGCGGCCAGTGGGCGGAAATCTTTCCAATGGTCAGAAATGAAAAGCTAATTTAGTTCTCAAAACACCCAGTCAAGTAGTAGAAGTTCTTTCCTATCAGGGGCATACCTCCCACAATTTTATATGCTGCATTATCAACACACCACACACTGTCTGTCTGTTTTTTTGTACGTGCCCCTAGCGGGACCGAACCCGGGACTCTCTGGTCCGCAGGCCGACACTCCAACCGCTGAGCCAAGCTGGCCAGGGCTGTTTGTTTCCTTGATGGGACTCACTTGCAGCTGAATTTATTAGGTGTCTAGCGTTGTGGCAGAGAAACCCCACAAGTGCCGCAAAGAGCAACTGTGTCTGCCCCAAAGACACAAACAATCCTCCAGCAGCCTCGCGAGAAGGAAGACTAAATTATACTTCTACCTTCTCTAGAGAAAATGATATGAGAAAAGTGCCATCATATCAAAATGGAATCAGTGTTTGCCAACAAAAAATTGAAAGAAATAGAAGAATATGGCATGTTTCAGGGAATTAATTAAATATTATATTTTGGCTTTTGTGGTTTTGCAGTATTTGTTCAGTTTTGTTTTGTTTTAATTTACAAGTCGGGGTATTTTCTTCCTCATTCTGAATGAATATTCACTTGCATACGACAGTTTGTATTTTGAACTTTGTTCTTTTTCTTAGAGAGAGGCCTACAAAGTCTGTACTTTTTCCTTCGTACATTGTAGCGGTTGCTAATAACCAAGAACAGATACCATCATCGTTCACTTTCAGTTGAATAATCTGAATTGATCTTGTCTCTGGCACAGGCTGCCAACACCCCTGCAAACCATGTTTCTTGAAAAGGGCATTTTTCTCTATTTCCTTCGCTGCCTCCCGCAGGCTGGCAAGATCAATGCTCTGTGATTGTCTGACGCATTTGGCTTCCGCTCTTAATTAAACAAATTCCGAACCCGCTTCCTGAACTGATCCTCCTATTGCTCAGAGTCCCCGTTTCGTGTTTACAGAATCGTGAGGAGTCGTCTTCTGCGCGAGACACCTGTTCGTGGCAGCAGCTGGTGGGATTACTTCACCGATGACTTGACTCTAAAAACAGACATTCATGCTGAGAAAGGGATGCTCGTTAGGGCGTGGAAATCCTCATTAGTGACGATGTGTTTTTCAAGCTACTAAGTTTGTCTTGTCGACTTGATGACTATTCAGCTGTATTCCAGAAATATAAAGTATTACTTAAAGGAACTGTTATGCTTTACAACTTTCTAGGTTACCTGCATTTTTACAGATTTGTTTTTTTTTTAATTACATTGAAAATTTTGAAAATAGAAAGGAAATAGGGAGTAGTGCAATAGTATTGAATTACTTCAATAACATTCTTCAAATATTCTCTCAACTGAATTGAAATAATTTGTCATTAAAATTCTGAGCAATTCCCAATTAAAAATGTTTATTTTTAGGTATGTATAAACATATTGGGGGAAAAGTCACTTTCCTGATAGCATGAAGGTCACTTTAATAAACTCAATTAAATTATGTTGTTATTATTTACTTGTAAATATAAGCTTTTTTCTTATAGTCAAACACTAATTTATTATAAAATTTGATCAAGAATTATACTTCAACAGCCAAGATGGAAGAAACATTGAAAAAATGAATAAAACCAACTACATTCCACTCAGGAAACTAACATCAGATAACGATAACAAAAGTAAGAATCTAGTCCGTAGGAAATACTCAGGAACCATATGGGAGAATGAACTAGAAAGAACAAGCAGTATTTCATGGGCCACGGGATGAAGGGTTCACGTTGGACAGTGGGCCCTTGAGAGGTCAGGGAGCACTGACCGGGACGGCCCTGGGGACTCTGCCCTGGGGACACAATGTTCTTTTCTCCAGATTTGTTGTAACTAAGTTTAGGAAGTACATATATTCACGGAAATGGTGTTTAAATACGATTTCAAATGCTGTATGTCCATTAGGGATCTTTTTTAAGGAAAGGCTTTTAAGATTCTCAGAGGGTACCAAAGGTTTTCAGCCGCGATGTCCGGTGGCCCGGCTGGAGCCCACGGGAGACGGCCCAGGTGCCTCCGCACACTTTAATTTTGGAGACAAAATTAAAACACAAGGGAGCCTGGCTGGTTTTCTCAGTGGTTAGAACATCGGCCCACGAACCAGAGTCTTGGATTCAATTCTGGTCAAGGGCATGTGCCTCAGCTGCAGTTTGGTCCCCGGCCCTGGTTGGGGTCATGCAGGAAGCAACCAATGTGTCTCTCACATTGATGTTTCTCTCTCTCTCTTTCTCTGTCTCTCTCTTTCTCTGTCTCTCTCTCTCTCTCCCACTCTGTCTGAAGATAAATGGCAAAATTTCCTCAGTGAGGATTTCAAAACACAGACAACAAGGAGATGTTTGAAAACCTTGCAGACTGCACTGCACCTACAGTATGCCCCCCCCCCGACTTTGCTCTCAACATGGGGTTCCCCAGAGTAAGAGACCTTTACCTGGAGGGAAAGTGTTAGGATGATGGCCGTCCATGGGCACATGGGCCACTGGGCCAGGGACTATAAAGAAGAAATGGCCTCCCGGTGACTCTCAGATCCCCCGGTAGACTTCTTCCAAATACGCACAGGGGAGCGGGCAGGCTGTGAGCTCCTCTGGTCAGGAGGTCACATGACTCTGACCCTTCAGAGAGGCAACAGAGCAAAGGAAAAGGAAGCATTGGCCATTTTCAACTGAGTGACACACACATAAGTGGAAATCTTCCCAATTTCTCTTCACTGAAATCGTAAAGTTGCAATTCTGCTGCCGTCTTTCACTTCATACACTATGACACCCCTGGCACAGGTCCCAAGGTCATGTCCCCTGCAGGCCGTGCCTTGTCCGGAAGAACTCGGTGGACCAGCATGCCTCACTCCGGGAGCTGCTGAGGGACCTGGAACGAGAAAAAGGCCAATTGAGAGAGACAGGCACACGGGTCAAAGAGAGGACGTCAGCCATTCCACGCAAAACCCCTTCCCGGATGTTCTGAAAAACCAGAAGGAAGGACGAGGATTGCAGAGGACGTTCAGGGAACACTGAGCTGAACAGACCTCCTGCTCCAGAATTTCTCTGCACTCTGATCTGATAGCAGTTTCTATTTTTTTTAATTAATTAATTAATTTTTTTGTTACAGATGTTTCTCCTTTTTTACCCCATTGGCACCCCCCTCCCCACCCCACCCCCACCCCATCCCCAGCTTTGTTGTCCATGTCTGTTGGTTATGCATACATGCATATAAGTTCTGTGGTTTATCTCTTTCCACCCCCACACCCCCTCTTCTGACGGATGTCAGTCTGTGCCGTACTTCCATGTTTCTGGGTCTACCGTATTCCTCAGACTGTTATGTTCATTATATTCCGTATATAAGTGAGATCATGTGATACTTGTCTTTTTCTGCTTGGCTTATTTCACTTAGGATAATACTTTCCAGGTCCTTCCATGTCATCTCAAAGGATAAGAGATCTTTCTTTCTTACAGCTGCATAGTACTTCATTGTGTATATGTACCACTGCTTTTTTATCCATTCGTCTACTGATGGACACTTGGGCTGTTTCCAGATCTTAGCTATTGTAAATAGTGCTGCCACAAACATGGGGGTACATATATTCTTCCTGATTGGTGTTTCAGGCTTCTTAGGGTATATTCCTAGAAGCGAGATCACTGGGTCAAATGGAAGTTCCATTTTTAATTTTTTGAGGTAACACCATCTTGTTTTCCATAATGGCTGCACCAGTCTGCATTCCCACCAGCAGTGTATTAGAGTCCCCTTTTCTCCACACCCTCGCCAGCACTTATTGTTTGATGATTTGTTGATGGCGGCCATTCTGACAGGTGTGAGGTCTATTTTTTTTTAACCCAAGGAATCCTTTTCTCATGAAGTCTCTTTTTATTCATTTATTTATTTATTTTTCTTTATTGATTTTAGAGAGAGAGGAAGGGAGAGGGATAGAGAGATAGAAACATCGATGAGAGAGAATATGGATCGGCCGCCTCCTGCATGCCCCCCACTAGGGATCAGGCCCACAACCTGGGCATGTGCCCTGACCAGGAATTGAACCAGTGACTTCTTGGTGCAGAGGTGACGCTCAACCACTGAGCCACACCAGTCGGGCCTGGAGTTTCTTTTTAAAACAACACCTGAATACAGTTGCTATGAAAATGGGACAATAGCATAATAATGTCCTGGACAAGTTTTTAGAACACAGACTCTCACAGTACGGGATTCCTTTTCTAATTGTATCAATCAACGTCAACTGCAATATTACCTGGTCCAACCCCTTCATTTTGCAGATGGGTAACTATGGCCCAGGACCAACCACGGGTCTTTCTCACCATGTGGCAACGCCTCTGGGGGTCCCCACAGCCCAAGGCCTGTGATCAGTCCACAGGTCAGGAGACTGCATTTCATCAGGGGCCTGAGTGTCATTCAAACCTGGGGCTGCATCAGGCCAGCCAAGTTCTTAAGGGGCTGGAGCGTAAACCTAACACAGAGCTTCAGACACACCTCGAGCTTGGTGTCTGCCATCCTCGTCTTCACCTGCACGACTCCAGTTCTCCGAAGGCTGATGCCCCTGGACTCCCAGTGGGAACAGCCTGCTCCAGGTATCTGAGACCCTCTTAGAAGGGTTTCGGGGGTGAAATCTGGTTTCCCATTTCTCCTCCCCCAGCAGAGACTCCATGTCCTGTCCCAGGCAGGGTCATAAAATCAGGGAAAATTATGGCTTTTGAGAGTCTTTCTCAGGCTCCTTGCCAGCCTCTCTCCTTCTGTTGATGAATAATCCCCATAGATAAATTTTCTTGCCTGCAGAGACTTCAGCTCTTCACATAATCTTCATTACTTTCTGAACCCTGAGCCTCTCTCTCTCTCTCTCTCTCTCTCTCTCTCTCTCTACATATATATATGTGTATGTGTGTGTGTGTGTTTATTGATTTTTTTTTAGAGAGAGAGAGAGAAACATCATGTGAGAAACATCAATCAGCCGCCTCCTGTATGCCCCCTACTGGGGACTGAGCCCCCAACCTGGCCTGTGCCCTGACCAGAATCAAACCAGAACCTCTCAGCCCAGGGGACCACACTCAATCCACTGAGCCACACCACTGAGCAAGCCTCCTTCTTTTACCTTTGGCGAGACCTTACCCTCATCATCATCGTCATCATCACCATCACTAAGATCCAAAACCATATGTGTCTAGCACTGGTGTGGACACAGCCAGTGGCCAGAGTAGGCATGAGCCTGGGGTATGATAAAACAAGGCCACCTCGAAACGATAGGTAAACTTTGAAAAATACAGTCGGCCCTCATTTATTGCGGTTAATTCATTCCAGACTCGACCGCGGTAAATGCATTTCCGGAAGAAGGATCCTTTATACACAGTCGTCCCTGCCACGCACTCCGAGTCTTGCTGCTTCACTCGATCCTACACTACACTTGAAAAACCACGACAGAGCAAAGCCGCCAACATCGGGGCGCAGAGTGGCGAGGGACCACTGTATCTGGTATATTTCTAAAAAGGAAGAAACCCTAAGGCATTAAAGCAGTCTTCATTCCAACAAAAATGCCTTTGATGGGCTTGCTAACCTTTTTTAATTGTTTAGTGTTCCTTTTAATTTTATTTTTAATAACAGAGAGGGGTGGAATACTGAAGGACTTAGGGCCACAAACTTCTTCAAGTGGTGGAGCACCATTCCTTAACCCTCACAGCAGTTTTAAGAGAAAGCTGTAACTATGGAACCTTCACAGCAGTTTCAAGAGAGAGCTGTAACTATGTAACCCTCACAGCAGTTTTAATAGAGAGCTGTAACTATGTAACCCTCACAGCAGTTTTAATAGAGAGTTGTAACTATGTAACCCTCTGCTTTCAATGAGAAAGTGGGGGCATGGACGGTTCAGTGATCTGCCAAAGTTCCCATGGAGCTAGAATGGGAATATGAATACATGTTATTTAGTCTTCATGCTTACCAATTCAAGTACAGAGTGTCCATACAGTCTGGAAGCATGAGGGAATATATAAGGTTGCCAAGGGCATTTCGAGCTGTGAAAACATAAGTAACAGGATCTGTCTCCACGCTCTGCTAGGGAATCTGTGGCATCTCTCCTGGTCCAGTCAGGGTGGCCGTGACTGACCTTCCTCTCAGAGGGTCACTGCATCTCCCTGTGCTTAGGACCATCCCCCTATTTCCCCTTCTCCCTAAAGGAGGCAGCAGTGTTGAGATGGATCCAGGCTCTCCTGGCTCCCAGCCACACAGCACCTCTGTATCAAAAGCTGTTGGAACAAATGGATTCTTTCTGGATGTTCATCAAGAGAGTCACAATGTATACCCTTCGACCCTGCAATTCCATTCCTGGGACGCTGTCCTAAGAGAATGTACCATGTAACCAATACAAACCCTTCTCAGGGAAATGTTCAGTACAGACGTGCAAGATCGGGTTGGGAGGACCAGATCCCAGAGGTTGGGGTTTCCTAAAGGCAGCTCTCTTGAAAGGACTTATCGGGCATTTTTAACAAAGGATATTTATAGTGTTTGTAATTATCTCTGGGATGCTTATGCTATAATACTAAGTGAAGGAAATACAAGATACAATTTTTATGGTTTCAAAAAAACAATGTTTTAATAGCATGTCACAATGCTCAGTTATGTAGGAAAATGGGTCCATGGTTGGGGAACTTTGGAAAACACCGAGTTCACCTTGGACAGACTGCTCTGGGATTAACATGCTAATATGTCTGAGTCTTCCAGACAGTCTTGTATTCAGCATTACCCACGCTGGACAGCTGCCAAGTCTCCTGTGTGAGATGATGAACTAGCGGAATAGTCACCAGCGAGCTGGCGGCCGCGCACCATCTGGTGGAGGAGAGGGAGCCACCAGAGCTGTACTTAACCTAGTGCAGGCTCACAGGGCCGCGGGCTCTGACAGTGCCCCTAGTGGACGGAGCGAGAAGTGCACAGAGAGGACGGTGACATAGAGTCTCAGCTGTTCAAATGTTCAAGGTGTTCATACCGTCAGCCCACAATCCTGTCCGTGAGATTCTATCTATCCCCAAGGAATTAAGCAGATGTGCAGATAAAGATTTATGGGGAAAAGTACTAATCTCAACATTGTTTAAAATAGTCCCATGTTTAGCCCTGGCCGGTTTGGCTCAGCGGTTAGAGCGTCCGCCTGTGGTCCGGAGAGACCCGGGTTCGGTTCCCGCTAAGGGCACGTACCTCGGTTGCAGTTTGTCCCCGGCCCTGGTTGGTCGTGCGGGTGGCAGCCACTCGATGTGTCCCTTTCACATCGATGTTTCCCTCTCTCTCTCTTCCTCTCTCTCCCTCCCACTCTGTACAAAAAAATGGAAAAAAAAAAAAAAAGTCCCATGTTTAAAAGAATTTATATGCTAAACTAGGCCCTGGCTGGTTTGGCTCAGAGGTTAGAGCTTGGCACTCAGACCACAGAGTCTCGGGTTTGATTCCGGTCAAGGGCACGGACCTCGGTTGCAGTTCATCCCTGGCTCTGGTCGGGTCATACGGGAGGCAGCCAGTCGGTGTCTCTCTCTCTCTCTCAGTCTCCCTTTCTCTCCCTCCCTCTCACTCTATCTGAAGATAAATAGAAAAATATCCTTGGATGAGGATTAAAAAAAAGAAAAATTTAGGGTACATAATGTGTTGATTTAAAATAGTTTCAATATTTTAATGAGATGGGATTATAAAAATACACAAAACTGCATGTCAGACATAAACCCTACTTTAAACATATATGCATAGACACCTGTGGATGCTCAGAACAGAGAGAGAGGAATACATGCACCCCGTGTAACTGCTGTCCACAGGGGCACGATCAGGAACAAGTGGTTGCTTTTATAGTCACAGGGGAAAGGACTTTATTTAACAAAGGGTCACAAGTGGCCTGGCCACTCCCTCTGGGTCCTGCCTCTGTACCTCAGGTGGCACATGGTATTGGCAAGCCAGCCGGGAACTTGGAAACTGGCAAGATCGCATGTAAATGAAATCAGGCCTGTTCAGGGCTTTGCTTATCAGATGGCGGCCCTCCTTTACAGTCAGTTTTTATTCTTCGACCGGGGCAGGGGGGGTCACTGTGAGTCCTCGGCCTCCCCACTGGCCCCGGGGGTCTGTGGCTCCCCTCCACCAGATGTGTGCTGATGGCCTGGCGGTGCCCACTGCCCCCGTGGAGGGATGCTGACCCCGAAAGGCTGGGTCTGGGCCGCAGTGAGCCCGTCACCAGGGCCTCTCAGGAACCGCTTGCAGACTGCACTGGGTGTCCAGGCGGCTCTGCTGAGTGACCCATCACACAGGGAAGGCCACAGATCCCCTCGGCAGTGGGGCTTTCTAGTGCCTGATTTATTAAAGGCAAAGACAGTGGTGGAACATCTCTGTCTGTCTCGGGAGACTGCACAGAGAACGTGTACGTCTCGGAGCTTCCTTTTGAAGCTGATCCCAGCTCTAGAGGCCCAGCCAGGCACCCTGCCCTGGGGAAGCCCAGCGGGGACTTCTCCCACACACCCCCAGCTCTGCCTCCGGGGCACAGCAGCCCGCCCCCACCCTGGTGTAACTGCTCCCGTGGGTCCCCTGGGGCGCTTCCGCACTGCAATGCCTCTGGGTCCTGTGTGTCCTCCCGGGAGACGTGGGGCGCCCTGGGGCAGGGAGCGTGTGCTGCCCGTCGCCACAGTGCCTGGCTCACGCAGGTCTAAGAGTGAGCAAGTCCTGGTCATCCTCACAGGCTCTGTGTGTGCCCACACACGTGGGCCCGAGGCTGCTCCTTCTGCCAGGGCTGAGGACAGTGGATGCGAGACACACCCGACGCGTGGATCACACTTTCTGTGCTGTGCTGAGGACAGTTTTCTGGAGGGCTGCAAACTCGGGGTCTTCCAGTGGCTCTGCTTTGGGCTCACACCCCAGTCATGGACTTCGGTTGCCTCACGTGTCATCTACAAGAACCCCACTCCCAGAAAAGTGACTGTGAGCCTGAGGCTGGAGAAAGGCCCAGCGGTACCCACCGGGCCCACTAAATCCCACTCGTCTTGTGGGATCATCCCCAGTGCTGCCTCCTCCAGGAAGTCTCTGTGCCCCATAGGACAGCGGAGCTTCCCGCCTCCTGTGCCTACTCCGGCCTCCTCCCAGGTCCCAGCACACACAGCCTTCAGGAGGGGCTTCCGAGGGGGTCGCTGATGTGTGTCCTTGAACACCAACACCCCGTGCAAGGGTATGAAGGCCTCACCCTCAAGAACTCCAGCTCAGCATCCTCTCCCGAGCACAGGACTGAGCCGGTGCATCGCTGACACTTGGAGCTGGGCCTCGACAAAGGTCGTCTCTCCATCAGACCTGCTGGGATGTAGTTTCAACGTGGGAATAGGCCCGGGTCCCTACCTGCTGGAAATAAGAGCGGAGACAAGGGGCATCACCAGAACGGAAGTGTGCCCGCCGCCAGGCCCAGGCCAAGGCCCCAGGGCAAGGACGCTCCTTCCAGTGCCCATCCAGCACGTCCCTTTCCACCGCAGAGGCTGGGACAAGTCATACAACATGAGCAGAAGGGGGAGAAGAGAGGACCCACCCATTTGGGAGCCCCTCTGTACGCCGGTTGTCCTCTGAACACATTAGCTCTTTGGGTTCTCACAGTAATCCCACAGGGACAGCACTATGACTGCCACTGCCGAGGTGGACACAGTGAACACGGACGGAAGTCACTCAACGGGGCCAAGGGTACACCACTAGTACGTGACAAGAATAAGATTTGGTCACCAAAGCCCTCACATGTCCAAGATGCCACCTTGTAAAGGCACAGAAACACCCTGGTCCAGAAACACGGTTTCTCTGTATGCACTTAGCATGTCTGTGCCCTCATGCGCCCAGGGCGCTGACCTATGACACTGCCTGTGACACTCTCTGTCCAAGAGAAGGCGAACAAGGGACGATCTGACCGCCCAACGCCGACAGCGCCAGGTCTGAGCCTTCATTTCTGTCCCCCGCCACGCGTGCCCTCCACCAGGCCAGGCATGCCCTCCGCCAGGCGTGCCCTCCGCCAGGCATGCCCCTTGCCACGCGTGCCCTCCACCAGGCCAGGCATGCCCTCTGCCAGGCGTGCCCTCCGCCAGGCGTGCTCTCCCCCAGGCGTGCCCTCCGCCAGGCGTGCCCTCCCCCAGGCGTGCCCTCCGCCAGGCGTGCCCTCCGCCAGGCGTGCCCTCCGCCAGGCGTGCCCTCCCCCAGGCGTGCCCTCCCCCAGGCGTGCCCTCCGCCAGGCGTGCCCTCCCCCAGGCGTGCCCTCCGCCAGGCGTGCTCTCCCCCAGGCGTGCCCTCCCCCAGGCGTGCCCTCCCCCAGGCGTGCCCTCCGCCAGGCGTGCTCTCCCCCAGGCGTGCCCTCCACCAGGCGTGCCCTCCGCCAGGCGTGCCCTCCGCCAGGCGTGCCCTTCAGCGAGTGGCAGCCCCAGCAGCAGGGCTGGAAGCCGCACCCCGCCTCACCCGGTTCCCTGCTACTCTGGGCAGGCGGGTATGCACCCGTTCCGGAGGAGTGGCCTTGGGGTCCACTGTGGAAATGAGGGAGGCAGGCCTTGCAGAGGGACAAGGTGACCTGCCCTGTGTCCTGAATCAGCAGCCCTGGTCTCAGGCAGCCCCTCCCAGCCTAACCTTAGGCACGACCTCTCCCCACAGCTGAGGACACCTACCCGACAGCCACCTGTGCAAAGGCAGCCGGGAGCGGAAGCCCCCGGGCCTTCCCCTCAGGGGATGGGCACACCGATCTGACGAGGGAACTGGAGGAACAGGGTGTCACCACGCCCCCACGCTCCTGGCGGGCGCAGCCTGTCCCCACAGGGCTGTGGACTGAGACTCCCCCAGCCTGGGATTGGTTCGTGCTCAGAAACACAAAGGAAAAGGAGGCTCGGCAACCCAGTGCATCACAGAGCATTCGGACTGCTATTCGAATGGCCCAAATCCAGAAGAGTGACAACACCAAGTTTGGACACGTGGGGAGCAACACGTCGCTGGGGATGCAAAGCTGTGCAGCCACTTTGGAAGACAACTTGTCGGTTTCTTACGAACTAAACATACTCTCACCGTACGATCCAGCAATCACACTCCTTGGTGTTTACCCAAAGGAACTAAAAACATGTGCACTCAGCCACTGCCCGTGGATGTTTATAGCAGCTTCATCCACGATGGCCAAAACCGGAAGCAAGCGGTGTCCTTCAGTGAGTGGAGGATAAATGCACTGCGTTTATCCAGACAGTAAACATCACGCTGCCCGAAGACGAAATAAGCTACCAGGCCACAGAAAGACACGGAGGACAGTTACGCGCACATCACCATGCAAAGAAGCCAATCTGAAAAGCCCAGAGCTGTAGGGTTCCAGCTATATGACCTCTGGAAAGGGCTGACTGCGAAGAAAGGGAAAACATCAGTGGTGCCGGGGTTAGAGGGAGAAGGAGGGATGAACAGCTGAGCAGAGGATTGTTAGGGCAGTGAAACTGTCCTGCATGACACTGTAGCAGTGGGTGCCTGTCCCTGCACATTTGTCCCAACCCACAGAACACACAACAGCACCGAAGGTGGACTTCAGGTAACAAGGCTGTGTCAGTGCAGGTTCAACACCGGGACAAAGGTGCCCTCTGGGGCAGGGCGTGCTGAAAATGGGGGAGGCCGTGGGAGTGGGGGGCAGGCGGTATTGGGGAATTCTCTGTACCTTCCATTCAATTTTGCTGTGAACTTAAAGCTACTAAACATTTTAAAAAGGAATGTAAGACCCTTGACGCAGCATCCCCTTGCTGAGGACGTCCAAGAGAAGTCAACACGGAACGGAGAAAGTCTGGCATGAACACATATTTTTCTGCCACTCATGGAAGGTCAGGAACAGCTGGAATATCGACAGCAGGTACCATTTGAATGGAATAGCTAGGTGATGCTGGACAGTTCTCTTACCCACAAGCGAGACCCCGCCCTGCCGGGTAAGCAGACAGGTCCCAATGTCACAGGGCAGCCCAGGGAAGACAAGCATCACTGAGGAAGCAGAACGAAAATCAAATGCCTTTGTGCTGCCCGGCCGGTGTGGCTCAGTGGTTGAGCATCGACCCTGCATCAAGAGGTCGCAGGTTTGATTCCCGGTCAGGACGCATGCCCAGGTTGTGGGCCTGATCCCCAGTGGGGCGCATGCAGGAGGCGGCCAGTATGTTCTCTCTCTCATCGATGTTTCTATCTCTCCCTCTCCCTTCCTCTCTCTCTAAAAGCAATAAAGAAAAAAAAATCAAATGCCGTTGTGTTCACCGTGTAAAATCCACACGTGGATCGAAGGCTGCAGGGGAAGGAAAGCTATTCTGCTGCCATGAGTGATTTAGGAGATTTATTTTTATACCAAATTGTCCTTGTCTCTCTTTTTAAAATGCAAATGTGAACATGTCACTTCCCGCTTAGAATTCATCCGCATCTCCCAATCTTTCACTACAGTGATTTCCAAAAAAATTTTCCATCACCAGAACCATTTATCAAACAAAATATAGGGACCTTAGCAGGGCACACAAGTTCCTCCTGGCAATGCTGCCCAGCCCACAGCCAGCTGCCCACAGCCCACAGCCCACAGCCCCACAGCCCACAGTCCACAGCCCCACAGTCCACAGCCCACAGCCCACAGCCCCACAGCCCACAGCCCCACAGCCCACAGCCCCACAGCCCCACAGCCCACAGCCCACAGCCCACAGTCCCAGCCCCACAGTCCACAGCCCCACAGCCCACAGCCCCACAGCCCACAGCCCCACAGCCCACAGCCCCACAGCCCACAGCCCACAGTCCCACAGCCCACAGCCCACAGCCCCACAGTCCCAGCCCCTCAGCCCACAGCCCCACAGCCCACAGCCCCACAGCCCACAGCCCCAGAGTCCACAGCCCCACAGGCCCACAGCCCACAGCCCACAGCCCCACAGTCCCAGCCCCACAGTCCACAGCCCACAGCCCACAGCCCCACAGCCGACAGCCCACAGCCCCACAGCCCACAGCCCCAGAGTCCACAGCCCCACAGGCCCACAGCCCACAGCCCACAGCCCCACAGTCCCAGCCCCACAGTCCACAGCCCCACAGCCCCACAGCCCACAGCCCCACAGCCCACAGCCCACAGCCCACAGCCCCACAGCCCCACAGCCCACAGCCCACAGCCCACAGCCCCACAGCCGCACAGTCCACAGCCCCACAGCCCACAGCCCACAGCCCCAGAGCCCACAGCCTCACAGCCCCACAGCCCACAGCCCCACAGTCCCAGCCCCACAGTCCCAGCCCCACAGCCCACAGCCCACAGCCCACAGTCCCAGCCCCACAGCCCACAGCCCACAGCCCACAGCCCACAGCCCACAGCCCACAGTCCACAGCCCCACAGGCAGGGCTGCCGTGGAATGCCTCAGCTCTCTGGCCTGGCAGCCTTCTTGTCCCACCCACTCAGGGACACACACAGGGAGGGCTCTCCCTCTGAGTCTCCCCTCTGACCCTTTGATGTGCCCCACGGCACCGGCACCGGCAGAGTAAGGAAGCAAGGCCTCGAGGCGAGTCCGCCGTGCTCCCCGCCCACCTGACCTCACAGGGGCCACCTCTCAGCTGCAGGTGGCGATCACACTGACGTTTCAGGGCTGACACAGCCCAGCTGCTCCAGCACAGGGCGGGCCCTCCGCAAACCAGGGCCGAGCCAGTGATGCACAGATGAATGAGTATGTGATTGGCCCTCCCACACAAGAGAAGGGGAAAGCCTGCCTTTGGGGGCTACAGGGGAGCACCAGGGACCTCTCACAACGTCTCTGACCCCCAGGGCAGTAGGAGAGGTGGAGGTGGGGCAGGAGCCAGAGGCGGAGGATGAGATCAGGATGAGGTAGGGGGTGGGTGAGGTCAGTCAGAGACTGGACAGGTATAGGGAGTCACCAGTGGGCACCTAGAGACAGGTCTGGGCCACTGCGCCTTGGGGCAAGTGATCCCATAAGAAGGATCTGGGCCGGCTCAAGTTCCCAGCTGCCTTCAGTGGGCCTGACCCCCAATGTCCACCATCTCTAAGGACCTGGCCCCCAGCATCCACCAGCTCTAAGGACCTGGCCCCCAGCATCCACCAGCTCTAAGGACCTGGCCCCCAGCACCCACCATCTCTAAGGACCTGGCCCCCAGCATCCACCAGCTCTAAGGACCTGGCCCCCAATGTCCACCAACTCTAAGGCTAGAGTTAAGGTCTTAGGTTTTAAACCCGTGTCTGAATCCAGAGCCAGAAAGCAGGTCTCTGTGTGGTTTTATAATAGAGCACTCCTAACTCTCAAAGAGGGAGAAGGAAGCTTACAAATGCCATGCTACATGCCAGGAATCCCACATGCCAAGGATCCCACATGCCAGGGATCCCACATGCCAGGGATCCCACATGCCAGGAGTCCCACATCCCAGGGATCCCACATGCCAGGGATCCCACATCCCAAGGATCCCACATCCCAAGGATCCCACATGCCAGGGATCCCACATCCCAGTGATCCCACATGCCAGGGGTCCCACATGCCAGGAATCCCACATGCCAGGGGTCCCACATCCCAGGGATCCCACATGCCAGGGGTCCCACATGCCAGGAATCCCACATGCCAGGGATCCCACATCCCAGTGATCCCACATGCCAGGGGTCCCACATGCCAGGAATCCCACATGCCAGGGGTCCCACATCCCAGGGATCCCACATCCCAGGGATCCCACATGCCAGGGGTCCCACATGCCAGGGGTCCCACATCCCAGGGATCCCACATGCCAGGAATCCCACATGCCAGGGGTCCCACATGCCAGGGATCCCACATGTCAGGGATCCTACATGCCAGGGATTTTACAGTCATAACCACCTTCCACCCTCACAGCAGCTTTGCAAGGGATCCCCTACTGTTACCATTTTGCAAATGAAAAGCTGAAGCTCAGAGAGATAATGTGCCCAAAGGCATGCACGGAACCAAAACAGGCAGGGTTTGAACCCAGTTCTGTCTGACTCCAAAACTCAGGCCCATTCTGCTGCCCAGAGCGCACTCAGAACAACTACCGCGGGGGTTGGGCGCACCCCACACAGGACTGGACAGGAGTCTGCAGCAAGGATGGCAACCACTTCGCGGGGGCCCCTGGCTCAGAGCCCTCTCTGGACACCAGCGCCTTCTCCTCCAAGACCTCAGTGTAGCCGCACAGGGCCAGCAGGAGATGGCTCCGGCATGGTAAGGGGCCCGGCTCTGGGGCCGAGGACACCAGAGGAGTCCGGTGTGATGGGTGGCAGAGAAGGGGTTCCAGGAGCCAAGCCTGCTCTGGGAGACTGCCCGCCCAAGCTCGGGCAGTGCCAGGGAGTCACTGAAACCCCAGTCTCCAGGGACTGAGGTGCTCACAGGGGTGTGGGGTGGTGGGAGGGGCTGGGAATTGAGCTACAGTCATCACCTTAGAAGCACGGTGACAACTTTCCCAATGGGTGTCTTTCATTCACAGTGTCACCCAGCCCAGGAGCCTGCACTGCGCCCACTCACCCCCTGGTGGCACCAGAGCGGAGCCAACCGTGTCAACCACCCAACCCTGACCCGCAGGCGGCTTCACTAAGAGAACAGCGCTAAGACTGACAAAGAGAGGAATGGCCAGGCCAGGTGGACACGGGGGGCGGGGAGCGGAGGGTGTGAAGGCTGGACACAGCGCTCTCCTCCGAAGATGTGCCGGGAGGAAAGCAAGACCCTGTGAACACGGGACCGTGTCCCCACGGTCTGCAGCCGTGGAGCCCATCTAGCGGCTCGTCACCAGAACTGTTACATCAGCTACAGAAGAATGGGAAATACCAGTGTCCAGACACAGAGGGGGTGCGTCCTATTTCCCAAACGTGTGCCTCGGTTCTTATACATACATGGTGTGTGTTGTGCTACGTCTACCTTTGCTCCTGTCACGCTCATGACAGGACACTTGAAAGCCTTTGTTCTCAAAGAGCCATTTTAACTCTTGAGCTCGGCCTTGCTCTCAGACCCAGTGCCGGGACAAAGCAGACATGCCGTGACTGCGTCCCACGCTGTGCTCCCACCCTGCACCCCCTGCAAACGGAGGACGGGGAAGGCCCAGGCACCCACCCTGGCTGGTGGCGGCCGCTGCCCTTCCGTGCCCAGGGAAATGTTTGCTGGGGCTGCAGCGGCGACAGCCGACTCAGTGAACTAAGAGCAATGAATTCTCTCACCTGGAGGCCAGAAGTCAGAGCAGAGTCAACAGGGCTGGTTCGTCCGGAGCCTCCTACCCGGCTTGCAGGCAGCTGCCTTCGCAGTGTCCTCTCGGGGTCTTCCCCGTTCGCCTGCCCCCAGCGTCCCGTGTGTCCTCACCCCCTTCTTGTAAGGGCTCCAGTCAGAGTCAGGGGCCCAGCCTGACAGCCTCCCTTTAATTCAATCACCCCTTTAAAGACCCTTCTCCAAACAGTCACATTCTGAGGTACCAGGAGTTAGGGCTTCAACATGCTAATTATGGGGAACGTGTTCAACACAGACGACCCAGCAGACTCAGACCTTCAGCCAAAGTCACCTCGTTTGTTCAGCAAGGATGGAGCGCCCCCGGGAGGTCCGTGCTGGTGGCGGACAAGTACCTGTGGTCATGTGTAACGGTGCCCCTATTTCTGGAAGTGGGGACCACCCCTCCTCCTTGTCAGTGCAAGCATTTTGCTTAGTGTAAGCTCTACCCCCCATTCCATGACACTCAAGTCCAACCAATCAGAGCACAGCATCTCCCTGCACAGTGATTGGTTTAGGGTAGGCACATGACCCTTCCAGAACCAATGAGAGGACAACAGGGTTTTCATGACCCCCCCCTACCCCGCAGAAGGGTTCTCTCCTGCTGGTGCTGGGCTGCCACCTGCAGGGTGGACTCTCAAAGCCACTGAAAGCAAACGGATCAAGGAGTCACAGCCCAGAGACGCAGGAAGCCCAAGTCCTGCTGATGCCATCTGGGTCCTGTACCCGGCAAGCCCTAGGCGAGGAGACAGGAGGCCAAGGAGACCCGGCGGCCAAGGAGACAGGAGGAGACTACAAGGTAAGAAGTGGTGGGATTGGAGGCTTGTCAAAGGGGCAGAGAAGCCTGGACACTTAGTTTTGCAAGCCAATCAATTACGTTTTATTCTAGTCTGAGCTTTTCCGTCGCTTCCTATCGAGAGGACACTAAGTAATCACCTGTCCTGGACAAAGGGTGCGGGGGAGCTGTTCAAAAGCGCCTAGCGGGTACAGGGAGGGTTTCCTACCACTTGTGGGAGGCTGTGGGCTGAGGCTGAGGTTGACCTTGGAGGGCGGGTGAGATCAGGACGGACACGCTGACCCTACAGGGGAAGCACTCGAAGGCCAAGGACATAGGGGTTGAACCTCACTTTTCTTTCAAGCCTTCGATTCCTCTGTCCCACAGCTCTCATGTCCTCTTCAGAGCATCTCTGCTCCAAACCAAGTGCCCCCAGAGGTACTGAGTTTTTATGGCACGGCAGCGGTGATGCCCTCCGAGACAAAGCCCAGTGCACTGGCTGAGAGGCCACCTGGGAAGGGACCGTGGACGCTCACCTCCATTGCTTCCTGCTCTGCTCCTGCTGATGCAGCCAAGACAGAGTCCACATTTGGAGGCCACGGCACTGCCGGGTCACACGGGTTCGATCTTTGTGAGGTCTGCTGCCAACCTGCTACCCTGCATCTTGAGCATGGGTTGGGGGAGGGCTTCATAAACCCAGGACAAAGCTGCACTGCTCTCTGTCACAGCTCACCTGCATGTCCCCCTTCCTGCCTGGTGGCCCCATTTTAAGTCCTAATTAAGTTAATAAATGTATTAGCATGATCCCGCCCTACGGTGATGTGTTTGCAAATTAAATGACTTAATCCTACTAAGTCCCTGAGGACGGTGACATAGGACCATCAGAGGCAAATTAAGTCAAGAAACTTACATGTGCTTCTGCTGCAGGGACAGGGCTTGGCCAGCAGGCTCAGGGCCGCCACCTGAGAGCCGGCGGGTCTGCCTTGGCCACGCATCTGCCTCAGATTCAGACTCCACCATGCTCTTGTCACGTGAGTCTCAAACTGCTCTTCCAGAAAATGTATTAACCTTGCAGTTTTGTTTTGATGGTTAACTAAGTAAACACTGTGGAAAATGTCTAGGTCAACGGCAAGTACGTAGTACTTTCTTAATAAAGGTTGGCTGTTATTACAGATGATGATGATGATAACTCAATGCATTAGTAAATGACTGTTTTTAGGAGGGACCTTAGACTAGAACTACTGTACTGTACACATGTGACTTGTTCGTCTTTGTAGCCCCCAAGCCCAGCAGAGATCACTGACGAATGCTTATGGGCTGAATGGATGCGTGGATGATGGATGTTCACCCCGATCTCAGTGGTGGATGCTAACGACACGTCTCGAAGTATCAGTCTCCACCTTTCCAACGGTTTCCCTCTGTCTTACAGTTGCTTCTCCGCTGACCCCACCAGGGCCCCGGGCTCCCACCCTACCTTCTCGGGGTAACTGCCGAACTCGGCCTGCAGGGCGAGGACCCCCAGCCGCAGCCGCGGCTCATCACTGCCGTGCAGCTTCTCCAGGACGTCTTTCCGAAGCTGCAGGTAAACTGATGTCTTGTCTGGCTCTGACTGGGAGGGGAACGCCGGAGTGAAGGCCACTGGCATGCCAAGAGGCAGGGAGGACGCCTAAACCAGGGCTTTCTCAGTCTGGAAACGGAGAGAAGGCAGCACCCAAACCAACAGACCCAGAGGGCAATGCAGTAAGACAGGCCATCTCCTTTATCCTCATCATGCCTCCTGCCTCCAGGGGGCGCTCCCCTGTGACACACACTTCACTTAACCCCCAAGAAGGTATTTATTGTGGTGGTTCAGCTGAAAAAAACTGATGTTCAGGTAGGTGGCCTTTCTAGTAAGTGCAGGAAAGAAGAGGCAGTGACTCAGCTCCAAAGCCTTGACCCTGCCCTGCTGCTGGGGGCGGGACGGAATGGGTCGGAGAGAGAAAACTTAGACCCGGAGTGGAATGTGTTTGAAGCAAAGGGGCAAAATCTCCTTCTGAGCAGAGCTTGCCCACACACACTTATTGTTCTCCTTTTCTGTCATATTGGAAACCAAGCAATAGAAGATCAACCACAGTAATTGTTATTTGTATGTTAAAGTTCACCAACACTTGGACAGCCTCTACCTCCAACGCCAGCCTAGACACAGCCGCCCCCAAGGAACAAGGGCCCGAGTCTGCAGCACTCACCAGAGCAGCCCGTGGTGGCTGACAACGAACCGGACCCTCAGGAAGAGCGAGAAGGACCTCGACATGCAGCGGCTCACCCCAGCCGTCGGGGCTTATTTTGCACAGGCTGGTTTTGTTGTCCAGGAAAAAGAACTCTGCCTGAAGTGGAGCAGAGAGTGTTTGGAGGGAGAGGAAGTCAGGCAGCACCTCAGCTGCACAGCCTGAGCCCTGCCCAGAGGGCGCCTCGGGGCGTTCTCCATGCGGGAGGGAGCAGGAAGCAAGCCCTTCGGACACCTGCCACCGCCCGCCTCTGTGGGCCTCCGAGACGAACAGGAGCGGGTCAGGAGAAACTCAGCACCAAGAGGAGAAGTGTGATTACTGGTCTTAGAACAGGTGTCTCCACCCTCTGCTTTCTGGCTACCACCTGGAGATAAAGTGACAAAACGAACGAAGGAATATTCATTCCATTCCCGCCATGGCCAGGACCTCTCCGCCAGCTGGGACCCCCAAGCATCCGGTCATGGATGTGTTATGGTCTGAATGTTCGTGTCCCCCCACGATTCAAATACTGAGGCCCTGACCCTCCATGAGACGGCGTTGGGAGGTGATCAGATTCACATGAGATTACAAGGTGGACCTCACGGGGGATTAGTGTAGTAAGAAGAGGATGAGACCAGAGTTTCTCTGCTCTGTGGGGACACAACGAGAAGGCGACTACCTGCCAGGAAGAGGTCCCTAACCCCGACCAGGCTCCAACCCTGATCTTGGACTCCCGGCTCCAGAACTGTGAGAAAAACCCCTGCTGTTTCAGCCCCTGACATACGGCACTGTTTCAGCCCGAGCTGGCCCAGGCGGAGTAAGTCACGTCTGCCCTTTGCCCTGAATGTTGCCAGCTGGAAAACCATCAGTCCAAGCTCAGGACTCAGACACCAGTTCAGTTTGTGAGCACCTCTGGGAGGGAGGGTGAATCAGCCCCAGCCCCAAAGTCCCTGCCTCCACCCCTACCCTCTTCAAGGCAAAGCTAGCCACCCCCAGGCCTCCTGCAGATCTGCCCGAGGCCTGCTCTGCCCACACCCTCTCCACGCCCCACGCTCCCAGCGGAGATGCTCTGGTCCCAGGTGGCCTGGCCACAGGAGCCCTGCAGGCCTCAAGGCAAAGCGTTCAGGCGGTGACCAGCCTGTCCTTCCAAAGGCAGGTGCCAGGAGAGAGCAGGAGGCGTCCAGAGGTCAGGCAGCAGTCACCACACGGTGCTCAGTGTCTGGTGTTGGCACATACTGATTCCCAGTGAGTAAAATGTTTTATTTGTGATTTGGCTTAATGAACACAACAATATCAAAGTGAAATTAAGTGTTTAAAACATTTTAGGGCAGCACAACTTCGAAAGGCAGGAGTGAGCACAACAATTTTGAGAAACAGCTTCTTAAGCCCACGCCATCCCGACCTCCACTCTCACCGGACACTGCGTGGGAGCCCGGGAGCCACCGCCACGCCCACCGGACACTGCGCGGGAGCCCGGGAGCCACCGCCACGCTCACCGGACACTTCGCGGGAGCCCTGGGAGCCACCGCCACGCCCACCGGACACTGCGCGGGAGCCCGGGAGCCACCGCCACGCTCACCGGACACTTCGCGGGAGCCCTGGGAGCCACCGCCACGCCCACCGGACACTGCACTGGAGCCCTGGGAGCCACCGCCACGCCCACCGGACACTGCACGGGAGCCCTGGAGCCACCACCACGCCCACCGGACACTGCACGGGAGCCCTGGGAGCCACCGCCACGCCCACCGGACACTGCGCGGAGCCCTGGGAGCCCCCACCACGCCCACCGGACACTACACGGGAGCCATGGGAGCCACCGCCACGCCCACCGGACACTGCGCGGGAGCCCTGGAGCCACCGCCACGCCCACCGGACACTGCGCGGGAGCCCTGGGAGCCACCGCCACGCCCACCGGACACTGTGCGGGAGCCCTGGAGCCACCGCCACGCCCACCGGACACTGCGCGGGAGCCCTGGGAGCCACCGCCACGCCCACCGGACACTGCGCGGGAGCCCGGGAGCCACCGCCACGCTCACCGGACACTGTGCGGGAGCCCTGGGAGCCACCGCCACGCTCACTGGACACTGCACGGGAGCCCGGGAGCCACCGCCACGGTTCCGGTGTGCAGGGCCACGTGTCCCAGCCCACTGCGGGAGGACCAGTGCCCAGGTACCTGGGCACCTGGGCCACCTGAGGCGCCAGGCCGGCTGTAGGCTACCCAGGGGACCCTTACCTTTCATGTAGGCCAGGCCAAAGTAGGTGAGCTCCCCAAGTTTGGCGAAGGACATGACAGCATTGAAGATGGCCCCCGTTGTGGCTGTGATGTCACATCTCACCTCCAGATTCTGCCCACTCAGCAGAGGTCCCTGAGGGTCCAACAGGATTTCCCTTTTTTGGTCTGAAAACAGTAACAGTATCAATTGTAACAACGGACGACGAGACATGGAGTCTCCCGTGGGCCAGCTGCTGTGCTGAGCACTTAGCATGCGTCATCCCTCTTTTTTTTGTTTTAATTGGTTAATTTTTTTTAGAGAGAGGAAGGGAGAGGGAGAGAGACAGAAACATTGATGGGAGAGAACACTGACTGGCTGCCTCCTGCATCCCCTCACTAGGGATCAGGCCCACAACCTGGGCATGTGCCCTGACTGGGAATTGAACTGGCGACCTCTTGGTGCAGGTCGACACCCAACCACTGAGCCACACCTGCTGGGCCATATGCATCGTCTCTTTTAACTGACACACGACCCTAAGGGTGAGCACGTTTACAACACTGGCGAGCAGATGAGAAACGGGCTCGGTGATGGCAAGGGGCTCTCTCCTGGTGCACAGCCGGTAACAGGCAGGGCGGGACTAAACCGCACTCTTCCCCGGGCTGCAGGAGCCCCGGGGCCTGGGGCAGTTCTCACACACGCCTCTGCCCCCTGAAAGCTCAGCTACCCCAGACTCCGCTTCACAGGGGCTGCCAGGGCTTTCCCGGGCCCCCCCCCCCCCCCGGGGTGTTGCTCCGCCTTCCAGAGCTGTCCCAGGTTTCCCAGCACAGCAGAGGGAACTTGGGTGGCACAGATCCGGCGAAGGGCTGGAGCGAGGGGATTCCCTCACACTGAAGAAGGGTCAGCAGAGGGTCCCTCTGCACAGGGACATGAAGCGGGAGTGTGACTTGGTAGAGAGCTCTGGCAGGACAGAGTGAGCACCCCGGGGACCCTCCCAGGCTGAGACCGCAGTCAGAGCTCCATCAGCCTCCGGGCCAGCCTAACCAACCGGCTCCCTCACCACCCTCCACCCGCCCAGCCTAACCCCGCAGTTACCGCGATGGCTCCAGGCAGGTGCAGTCACGGGGCCTCTGCAGCCAGCAGGACCAACTCCGGCCTGGAGCACTGGGAAACACCGGCGTCACTCAGGGTAGGGAAGAGAAGTCACGCTCCACGGGCCGGACCCCCAGCTTTGGGACCCAGCTTGCCCTGCGGCCTGGCCCCCCCACACCCTGCCAGCACTCCCTTCCCCAGCGGCTGCAGGAACGGGGTCAGTGACACCGGTCAGGGGCCCCGTAGGCAGAGCATTGAGGCACCAGCCTCGTAGGAGGGTCGTGTTTTGGGTGATGTTTTAGCTCCCAAGCTGGGTGTCTACTTCCTTGTAAGTTTCCTACTTCACCCATGTTTACATAATCATTGACTGTACCAACATGATGAAACACCTTATGTAATACAGATATATGTTACATGCGATAAAAATTTTTGGAAACAAAAATACCTTTAGATTAGATAAAGCCTGGTCCTAGAGGGGATGTCGACCCGACAGCAGCCGGGGAACCCACACCCCACCGCACAGTGCTTCTCTGTCCCGCTGACGGCCGGCATCACTAACGCCTGGTCACTCACTCCCAGCACCCTCCCATGAGGTCATGTGCTCAACGTCTTTGGCAGGAATTTGAGGCTCTAAGAGGTTGAGAAACTCGCCCATCTCCAGCCTCAGTGACAGAGGATTGGGTGGGCCTTCTACTGTGCCCCTGCGGGTCCCCGGCAGGACTCCTGTCTCAAGAGGCCATCCTGAGAGACAGTGATGACAAGGAAAAGCCGAAGAAGGTGAGCCTGTCTGCTCCCCCAGGTTCGTGAGGACCCGCGAGCGGCCTTGGAGGCGGCGGGAGCCCAGGGCCGCGCAGGAGGCCGCCTGAGGCCGCTTTGGCTCCGCTCTCCCGTTTGCCGAGGAGCTCTGCGCAGTCTCTGGACAGGCAGACAAAGGCCTTCTGGGGCGCCCGGGCCGGATGTACCCATGTCGGACACCCAGACAGAAGGCCTAGCGGAAGCCGTATCCTGGTGAACAGCTGCCCTGCGGGGCTCGTCCCAGCTCCGGGAGCGCTGACCCCTGGCGTCTCTGCGCTGCGGTCATCAAGCAGCGTTTCGGCTCGTGGCCGCGCCGGCGGAGGAGGCAGTGCTGGCCGGTGCCGGGCTGTTTCTGGCAGAAGGTACATCCCGGGACCACCCCACTCTTACCCCTTCAGCAGACACCAGCCTGCCTGCGAGGAGGTGGGGTCCCCGCAGGCACGAGCACAGCGAGGGGTCACCAGTCATCTGCCCCCGTCAGCCTGGCTCCAAGGCCAGAGCAGGCTGGCCCGGCCACTCTCGCCCAAACCCTATCACCCGGTGCACCCACCGGAACAGACCGCCTCTCCTCCTTGTCGCCCCGCCCACATCCTGGCGTCAGTTCAGAGGCCCCTCCCAAGCGCAGGCAGCCTCCTCGGCTCTCTTACCGCAACCGGTTCCCCCACCCCAGCACCGCCGTCTGCTGCTCCAGGGCGGGGCGGCACCTTCAGCCCTGTGTCCTGCACAGTGTCCAGTACAGCAAGACCACCCAGTAAACACCCACTGCTCGGACTGGAGGAGTTCAGGTTTGTTAGTCCATTTCTAGCTACTGTGGCGCAGGGAGCCTGGGGTCCCACGAGGACCCTGCCCACCCACTGCTACTGCTGGAAGCCCTTTGGGGAGTGTCCACCCCTGGTCCTCCTGTGCTCACCTTTGCCTTTCTTTGCAGGAAACGCCTTGGAGAAGGAGTGTCTGGCCATGGGCTATGTGCCCCCTCAGAGAGAGGGGTGCAGAGCCGGGCCTGCTCTCCGGGAAGTCCTGGGGAGCTCCAGCGGGAGGCGCGCTGGCCCGTCAGAGAACAGGGGAAACCGTTAACGTGGGAATTCCTGCCCCCCAGTAAAAGCCCAGCAGGGGGGGGCTCAGCTGGGTGTGCCCCACTCCGTCTTCACCCCATAGCTGCGGGGAAGGCTCCATAGCTGCTTTGCAGACCAGGGGGTGAGGCCTGGAGAGGTGAACCCTGAAGTGTGACTTTGACCCCTCCTTCCTCCCATCAGGGGGTGGAGTCTGGTCCCCACCTCTGGAGTCAGGCTGGCCTGTGGCTTGCTTTGGCCAAGACAATGAGGTGGAAGTGGTGGGGGAAGTAGTTCTGGAAGTTCTGTGCCCCCCACACACCTCCCTGACTCTGACAATCTCAGGCTCCCCTGCTGGAGGAGAAGGGCCAGGATCTGCGAGACAACAGCCAGCCACCCCCCACAAGCGGATCACAGGTGCACAAAGGCATCCAACAGAGTCCCAAAGAACCTCCCAGGTGAGCACAGCCTAAATTCCCAACTCCCAGAGTCAGGAGCTGAATAAAGCATTGTTTCCAGCCTCTGTGTTCTGTGGCTGCCCCGTGTGGCCACACACCATCACCGTGGCCCACACGCCTGACGCGGCTCCACGCGCAGCCTGCACGTGTCCCCCAGGGAGACAGGGGCCCTGGCATCGCCTCGGGCTGGCATTGCTTCAGTGTGGCCTTCCTTGCAGTGGGACTGGGCCAGCCTCTTCTGGAGAAGAGACTTCTGGTCAGTGAGCAGCCAGCACGCAGGTCACGGCCCGTGCACAACAGTATCCCACAGCGCGTGGGCAGCCCCGTGCACCTCGCTGCTCACCTGTCCACACAGAGGCCGAAGCGCACGTGTGCTGAGGTGCTTGAAGGGCTCCCAGGAGAGCTGGGCCCCTGAGCTTCTCCCTGAGACTAACCAGATGGCGCGGAGGAGGCGCGAGCTGAGACAGACAGCACAGCTTGCTTGCTTTTTTATCCTCAGCCGAGGACATTTTTGCATTTATCTTCAGACACAGCGGGAGGGAGAGAGGGACGAAGAGAGAGAGAAGCATCCATGTGAGAGGGACACATCGAGTGGCTGCCACCCACACGACTCCAACTGGGGTGGGGACAAACTGCAACCCGGGTACGTGCCCTTAGCAGGAACCGAACCCAGGTCTCTCTGGTCCGCGGGCCGACGCTCTAACCGCTGAGCAGAACCGGCCAGGGCGAGCTGCCTCTCTTGCATCAGGCAATGTGCAGTGTGGCTAGCAGCATCCGACTAACTAGCTGTGTGCCCCTGGAGAAGTCGCTTAACCTCCCGAGTCTGTTTCCTCACATGGAGATGGAAATAAAAACAACAAGAGGTTGGGGGTGGTTTGAAGGGGAAGATAAAGCCTAACAGCAAAGGGTACCTTCTTTTAGGGACAACAAACAAAAACGATTGGTTTGTTGTTGTTGTTTTTAAATCTCACATACAGTTGAACAGTAGAGAACAGATTTGAAGATTATTCTAAAATTCATTCTTTTAACATATTTAGAGCAACAACAAAAACAATATTTTATAAATTACTTTTCCCTTCACTCCACCTAGAAACTAGTTAAAGAACAATGTTGTTTTCGGTCGTTTGTTTTAAATTGTTTTAGCAACTTGAACAGTTAGATCTCAGTAGCAAGGAGTTTACATTTGCTATCTGGTCAGTTGTACCTCCGAATGAGGCTTTCTTCGGACACAGAGGGGACCTGCTCAGGGGCCTCCTGGAAGTGTTCAGCTCGCACAGGCTGCCTCTCGTCACCACGGCGCACAGCTGGCCCAGCCGGGCGCGCCTAGGGCACAGCACCCCCCGGCAGGGCGGCAGACACGTCAGGGCCAGGGCGGCTGGACCCTCACACCTCCTCTGGCGCAGCTGTGCCCGAGCAGGCAGCTGTCCCGCTGCCCAGGGTGCTCCTGCACACTCTCCTCTCTGCCTGGCTCAAGCGCATCACTCATCCCCATCCCCAGGTCTGGGGGCGCGCTGCACAGACACACACGGACTGGCTGTCGGCTTGAGTCAGTGTGGACATGTCTGCGCCCACAGTGAGAGCCTAGCAATGTGTTCTCTGCACCCAGACATGCTCCGTAGCACTACCCACACATACCCTCGAGGGGATTCCTTCCCTCCCCAGTACTGTGCCTCGTGTGCCCTGTGCCTTTGCTCAGGCGCTGCCCCACCTCGGGTCTCCCTGCTGAGGCCCCTGTGCCTCCAAGACCCAGAGCTACGTCCTCTCCACTTCCAACCTCCACCGCTGCCCTCAGGCAGATGCGAATGTCGTCTCCTCGTCTCCCCTCATCACTGTGCTCAGCCCCCTCTGTGAGGCCACACGTGTCTGTCTGCTTGCTTGTCTCCCAGCCTCCCTGTGCGCTTCATCCCTGCTGTGACTCACTAGTGCAGCCCTAGTGAGTGTCCAGTTAGTGACCCAAATCTACTTCATGGCTCCCTGATCAATTCGGTGTCCAATGGGGATGATGACATACCAAATAGAGACTCCCTTATCCACCAAGTCCTCTGGCTTAACACACAGGAGCAGCAATTCCACATGGCAAGAGACGAGGGGTCCAAGAAGGAGAACAGGATTAGAGGAAAAGCTTCTGATTGACTGTTGATGGCACCCCCTGTCCATAGCTGTCCTCCCCTCTCCATCCACATGACCCCGGCATTAGTTAAGGTCTCAGTTCCCTAACTGGTCCCTGGACAAGAACAGTACGTCCCAGCCTTCGCTGGTGCATCTAAGGTGCTAATCTCCTTGCATTTGTACCACGGGAACCTCACTTGCCTCACCCCAGTGCCAGCGCTGCTCGGGCCTCGAGGGGGACAACGCTGGCGCACGTCACCGCAGAGCGCCCCATGGGATCCCCGTGAGGCTGTCTCCACCGGAGACTACCTCCTTGCTTGGCTCGCCCCCCTTCCTGTCCTTCTATCGCACCCCCTCTCCCAGGGGCAGTTTTCCAATTAGGAACTTTCATAAAAATCCCCATCTCTGACTTTTCTTCAAGGAAACCCAGACTGAGCCAAACACCTAGTATGTGCCAGGCCCCTTTCTACACGCTGGGGAGGGTACAGGGCGCAGGGGTACCATACGACAAGCACAACAAGGAGACCCTCTGCAGGTGCAAGATAGCAAAGGGGAGCTGAGGAACCATGAAGGTGTGGTCAGGGAAGGTTCCTGTATAAGGGGCCTGGAGCTTAACTTTGACAGGTGAACTGACTCATGGGTTAGAAACGTGATTATTTTTATGTAAAAGGGTGTTTACAAAGAAGCCAAGGGGTTTAGCCACCCGAGGAGTTCAGGCTTACCCTGCGGTCTTTGCCAGACTGACCGGAGAACTCTATGACAGGAATGCTCTGGATCGGCCTGTCCCACGTGGTTGTCACCCGCTCCACGTGGCCACTGAGCCCTTGCAATGTGGCATGTGAGACTGAGGAACTGAGTTATCCATTTTATTTCACTTTAATTAAGATATTTTAGCTAATTTAAATTTCAACAGCCACATGTAGCCAATGGCTGCTAGGGTAAGAAGTGCAGAACTTGAGTCACAAGGTGGTGGTGGGGTAGGTGGGAACCATACTGACCTCCTCCGAGGACCAAACTGGAATTACAACTAAATTCTAGAATAATCGACCTGAATAGCCAACTGAAGCCTTATAACCAAGGACTTGCAGAAGGAGCCACTTTGAGACAGGTAGGAAATGCAGAGGCACAAGAGGGATGGCTGGGCCCCCGTGGGTGGCAGCTGAAGTTACAGAGGGACACCTCAGCTAAGGGGGGTTCTCCCTGAGAAGTCTGGGGTCTAAACCTCAAGCTGAGCTCCCCAACCGAGAGCACCAGAACCAGGAATGGCAGCCACATAACATCTGGCTATGACAAGCATCAACGTCTCTGTCCACCAGGGGGAGATGGCTAGAGAAGCAGGCACCCTTTTAAAGGGTTAACATATAAAATTTCATTTGCAGTCACTCACCCTGAGATCCAGCAGAGCGAGGGCAGAGCAGACTAGAGACACATGAGGAAAGGCTGAAGTTGGTGGCTCTGGGTAGAGAGCCGAAGGGTCGGCTGCCAGGATCCTGTGCCGAGTCATTCCCCCACACGGCAGAAGCCATCCTTCTCAGCAGAACACTCTCCTCTAAGCGCATCAGCCTGGGTGGAAGTAATAACCTCCACCTGCGGAAATCCCTCTCGTCCCCTCCTGTGGAGCGCACGCCCTGCTGAGGAATACAGCCAGAGGCTCTTTCAATAAACTAAGTCTAACAGGCAGCTTGCAGGGGAAGGCGGATCTATTTTGAGACTTTTGCGGACCTGTCTGCAGACTCTGTGCTGGTAAAAGCCAGGCGTGGTATGCATCTTGATCTGTTCCACATTCACCCAGGGCCAGTAGAGGGAGCCACAAGCTGTGGATTACTGATATCTTCAACCAGGTTGCCCCAGAACAGCCATAAGCAGCATCTGACATTGGCCTGCACCAGAGTCCCTCTGAAGAGGCCAAGAACCAATACATCCAGTGAACAGATTCAGACAGCAACAGAGCAGGGTCCAAGAAACTACAAGCAGTGTATCTACAGGGAGAACTCAGCAGGTACTGTAACCTACTGAGGCAAATCCTGCTTCATGTAATCAGCACCTGAACAGCAGATTGAGGGTCCATTGCATACATTAATGGGCCAATAGCAATAAAGACCCAATTACAACAGAAGGACCCACATAATAACCATATTTCTAGAGCACCCAGTTGTGCTCTAGGAGACTATGCCACTGGGCTCCACAGGGCACTTACTCTATAAGGCCACCCTACCAAAATTGAGAGTCATAGCAGATCTACCTCATACATAGAAACACAAAGAGGCAGCCAAAATGGGGAGACAAAGAAACAGGCCTGAAATTGAAAAACAACATAATTCTCCAGAAGAAGAGCTAAATAAAATGGAGACAAGCAATTTATCAGATATAGAGTTCAAAGTAATGACTATAAGAATGCTCAACAGCATGAAAAAGGACATAAAAACCATAAAAAAGGACCAGTCAGAATTGAAGAATGCAATATCTGAAATAAAGAATATACTGGAAAGAATAAATAGTAGGTTAGTGAAGCAGAGAATCAAGTCAGTGATTTGGGGAGACAAGGTAGGAAAAAAAAAAAAACACGTAATTAGAGCAGAAAAATAGAATTTTTAAAAGTGAGGAGTGTTTAAGGGATCTTTGGGACAATATGAAGTGTAACAGCATCCATATCATATGGGTACCACAAGGAGAAAAGAAAGAGGAAAGGACGGAGAACCTATTTGAAGAAAAATAATAACTGAAAACTTCACTAACCTGGTGAAGGAAAAACACACAAGTTCGGGAAGAACAGAGAGTCCCAAACAAGATGAACCCAAAGAGGTCCACACCAAGACACATCATAATTAAAATGACAAAGGTTAAAGACAAAGAAAGAATCTTAAAAGCAGCAAGAGAAAGGCAGTTAGTTACCTGCAGGGGAGTTCCCATAAGACTGTCCAGCTGATTTCTCAACAGAAACATTTCAGGCTAGAAGGGATTGGCATGATATATTCAAAGTAATGAAAAGCAAAGACCTACAACAAGGCTACCTTACCCAGCAAGGCTATTATTTAGAATTGAAGGAGAGATAAAGAGCTCCCTAGAGAAGAAAAAGCTAAAGGAATTTGTCACCGCTAAACCAGTATTACAAGAAATGTTAAAGGGCTTGCTTGAAGGAAGTGAAGGAGGAGGAGGAGGAGGCACATAGTTAAAAAAATTAAAATGGCAGTACATACCTATTAATAATGTAGGTATTGTTACCTACATACCTTTAAATGTAAATGACTTAAATGTTCCGATCAAAAGACATAGGGTAGCCTGGCAGGTGCGGCTCAGTGGTTGAGCATCGACCCATGCACCAAGAGATCCCTGGTTCGATTCCCAGTCAGGGCACATGCCCAGGTTGTGGGCCAAATCCCCAGTGGAGGGCATGCAGAAGGCAGCCAATCAATGTTCTTTCTCATCAATGTTTCTATCTCTCTCTCCCTCTCCCTTCTTATCTCTCTAAAAAAAATCAATAAAGAAAATTTTTTTAATAATAATAAAAAGACATAGGGTAGCTTAATGGATAAGAAAACAAGACCCATATATACACAGCTATAAGAGACTCACCACAGAATGAAAGATACACACACACTAAAAGTAAATGGATGGAAAATATATTTTGTGCAAATGGAAAGAAAAAAATGCTGGAGTACCAATACTTATATCTGACAAAACAGATGTTTAAAAAAGGCTATAGTAAAAGGATACTACATAATGATAAAGGGAAGAATCCAACATGAGGATATAATCCTTATAAACATTTATGCACCCAACATAGGAGCATGTGAATATATAAAGCAAATCTTGATGTACAAAAAGGGAGAGATTGACAGTAAAATAGTCACATAAGGGGATGTTAACACCTCGTTGACATGAATGGATAGATCTTCCAGGCAGAAAATCAATGAGACAGCAGCCTTAAAGGACACACTAGATCAAATGGATTTAATTGATATTTTCAGAGCATTTCACTCCAAAGCAGCAGAATATATATTCTTTTCAAGTGCCAGTGGAACATTTTCTAGAATAGACCACATATTAGGACACAAAACAAGTCTCAATGAATTTAAGAAGATTGAAATAACGTCAAGCATCTTCTCTGACCATAATGCTATGATATTACAAATCAATCACAAGAATAAAACTGAAAAACATACAAAGACATAGAGGCTAACTAACATGTAACTAAACAATGAATGGGTTAACAATGAGATCACGGAAGAAATCAAAAGATTCCTTGAAACAAATGAAAATCAGAATGCAACAATTCAAAATTTGCTGGACACAGGGAAAGCAGTCCTAAGAAGGAAATTCATAACATTATGGACTTATTTCAAGAAAAAAGAAAAAGTTCAAATAAACAATCTAACTTAACACTTAAAGAAGTTTGAAAAAGAACAATAAGCAAAGCCTAAAGTGAGTACAAGGATGAAAATAATAAAAATCAGAGCAGAAATAAACAAAACAGAGTCTAAAAAAAACAATATAAAAGATCAATGAAACCAAGACCTGGTTCTTTAAAATGATAACAAGATTGACAAACTTTTAACCAGACACATCAAGAAGAAAAGAGAGAGTACCCAAATAAAATCAGAAGTGAAAGAGGAGAAGTAACAACTGACACCAAAGAAAGACAAAGGATTGTAAGAAAATATCATGAACAACTATGCACCAACAAATTGGACAGTCTGAATGAAATGAATAAACTCCTAGAAAGATACAATCTTCCAAATATACATCAGGAAGAATCAGAGATCTGAATAGACAGATTACAACTAGTGAAATTGAAGCAGTACAGTAATGAAAAAACTCCCAAACAAACCCAAGTCCTGGAGGGGATGGCTTCACAGGTGAATTTTACCAAACATTCAGAGACTAACTAACATCTATTCTTCTCAAACCATTCCAAAAAGTTCAACAGGAGGAAAACAAAAATTCTCAACAAAAGATTAGCTAATCGAATTCAGCAATACATTAAAAAGATCATACACCATGATCAAGTGGGATTCGTTTTGAGGATGCAAGGTTGGTACAATATCCACAAATCAATAAATGTAATAAATGTAACCACATAAACCAAATGTAGGATAAAAACCATATGATCATTTCAATAGATGAAGGAAAAATATTTCATAAAATCCAGCACCCATTTATGATAAAAACTCTCCACAAAGTGGAAATAGAAGGAACATAACTCAGCATAATAAGGGCCATAGATGACAAACCCACAGCCAACATCATACTCAATGGGCAAAAACTACAAGTGTTTCCCCTTAAGATCAGGAACAAGACAGGGATATCTGCTTTCACCACTCTTACTCAACATAGTACTGGAAGTCCTAGACACAGCAATCAGACAAGAAGAAAAAATCAAAGGCATCCAAATTGAAAAGGAGGAAGTAAAATTGTCATTATTTGGAGCTGACATGCTATTGTATACAGAATAACCTAGACTGCACCCAAAAACTACTAGAAATGATAAATTTAATAAAGTAATAGGATACAAAATAAATATCTGGAAGTCAGTTGCATTTTTTATACACCAATAATGAATTATCAGAAAAAAGAAAACAATCCCATTCACAAATTGCTTCAAAAAGAATAAAATATTGCCCTGGCCGGTTTGGCTCAGCGGTTGGAGCGTCGGCCTGCGGTCCAGAGAGACCTGGGTTCGGTTCCCGCTAAGGGCACGTACCTCGGTTGCAGTTTGTCCCCGGCCCTGGTTGGTCGTGCAGGTGGCAGCCACTCGATGTGTCCCTTTCACATCGATGTTTCTCTCTCTCTCTCTCTTCCTCTCTCTCCCTCCCGCTCTATCTGTGCAAAAAATGGAAAAAAAAAATGTCCTCGGGTGAGGATAAAAAAAAAAAGAATAAAATATCAAGGAATGAATTTAACCAAGTATGTAAAAGACCTGTACTCGGAAAATTATAAGACACTAAAGTAAGAAACTGAAGAAAATACAGATAAGGGGAACATATGCCATGTTCATGGATAGGAAGAATTAACATCATTAAAATATCCATACTACCCAAAGCAATCTACATCTTCAACTCAATTTCTATCAAGATATCAATGGTGTTTTTCAAAGAACTAGAACAAGTACACCAAAAATGTATGTGGAACCACAAAAGACCCCTAAAGCAACAGCAATCTTGAGAAAGAACAAAGGTGAAGAATCATGCTACCTGATATCAAACTATACCTCAAGGCCATATTAATCAAAACAGCATGGTACTGGCATAAAAACAGACACATAGACCAATGGACCAGAATAGCAAGCTCAGAAATAAACTCATGCCTCTATATTCAATTAATATTTGGCAAAGGAAGCAAAAACATACAGTGGACTAAAGACAGTCTATTCGATAAATGTTGCTGGAAAAACTGGACAGATGTGTGCAAAAAAATAAAATTAGATCACCATCTTATGCAGCACAGAAGAATAAACTCAAAATGGATTAAAGACTTAAATGTTAGACTTGAATTCATAAAAATACTAGAAGAAAACATAGACAATAGAATCTCAGACATTTCCCATAGCAGTATATATATATAAAAGAAAAACGCAGACCTACACTGGCCTCGCAGATGGTGCCCCAAACCATGCCGAGCAGCTGTCTGATGTGGAGATGCGCAGAGACTGGGTGTGCAGCCGCTTCCCCATGCAGCCAGGAAGCTTCCAGAACGGAGCGCAGCGGCCACCGCCTGCCAGGCTGGTCTGCGCACATGCTCGGCAGAACGGAGCTCACTTGCTCAGCAGAACCCGGCGCAGGGGCTCCCGGAGCTGCAGTGGCTGCAGAGCAAGTGCTGCGTGAGCGGCTGCACGGCTGCGGCCCTGGGCCGGCGTCTTGCAGGTGCGCAGTGGGGACCCACAGAAACCCGTGGTCTCCTGAGCAGCAGGCAGGGATGGACACGGGATCAGTCACTGGGCCACCGACTCAGAGCGATGGTCTGCACCAGCTGAGTGAAGTTCCTGCTTTCTGACCTGCAGGGCCGTCCAGGGTTCAAGAGCCCACGCGTGTGCTTGGGCTACTTAAACAACAGGTGCCTGACCGAGTGGGCTTCCACCCATGCCAAGCGCCCAGATAAGCCAGGACGGATCAGCCTTAACTTACATTCACGGGGCAGCTGTGATTCCTCAGCTCACTCAGCTGGGTTCCGCGGGGCCTTCCTACTAGAATGTGCGCGCGGGGACCCGAAGGACCGGGCGTTTTCATTGTGAAATTGTCAGCACTCACCACAGGGTCAATAATTTTCGGCTGAATTCTATGTCACATGTACACACCAAACAGAAGGAAAAACAGCTATTTTCCTAAGCACTTCCCTCGTGTGTTTAGTGGCCACCAGTATATGGGGAAGGCCTCAGCTCAGACCCCACGTCCGGCTTTTCCTCAGGCCCAGCCACAGGGCGCTCACCTTTCCCACGAAGGCTGCGCACGCTGGTGGACCAGGGCCGTGCGGAGTGAGCGCAGGCGGGGGGGCTGGGCAGCAAAGGTGGGCTGATGTCCGAAAGGAAGGGGCTGTGTGCAGGCCCAGGGCGGGAAATGACACCGCAGGACCCCTGATGCCAAGTTATTAAACACTTCAACACAGTAACATGCTAAACCAAGCGTGGGGCATTGTGAGTGCCGTTCTGGTACACAGGCCACAGCCCAGGACCTGGCCCTGCTTGTGGCAGAGCACCAGAGAGGGAACAGCCACCCGTGGGAACCAGTTCCGGGCACCAGGGGTGCCCTGCTAAGAGGGGGATGTAATCCTGTGGGAGGTGAGGAGCTCCACAAAATTTCACAGGACAAGGGACACGAGCAGGTGCCGGCTTTAGGAAGAGCACCCGGAAGCTTGGAATGTGGAACTGGAGAAGGCGAGGGTGAGGTGAAGGGAGGAAGGGGAATGGAGGAAGGAGGAAGGGAAGGGGGAAGGAGGAAGGGGAAGGGAGGAGGAAGGGGAAGGGAGGAGGAAGGGGGAAGGGAGGAGGAAGGGGGAAGGGAGGGGGGAAGGAGGAAGGGGGGATGGGAAAGGAAGGGGGAAGGGAGAAGGGGAAGGGGGAAGGAGGAAAGGGAAGGAAGGAAGGGGGAAGGGGGATGGGAAGGGAAGGGAAAGGAAGGGGGAAGGGGGGAAGGGAAAGGAAGGGGGAAGGGGGATGGGAAGGGAAGGGAAAGGAAGGGGGAGGGGGGATGGGAAAGGAGAAGGGAGGGAAGGAGGGAGCAAGGGGGGAAGGGGAAGGCAGGAAGGAGGAAGGAGGAAGGGGAGGAGAGAGGCTGGGCAGGCTTCTCCAGCGTGTGCTCTTGTACACTGGTTTCTTATAGTGTCAGACGAAAATTTACACACACACACATATTCCATAGTCCAAATTTTTGTGAAATGCTATGACAGAGTTTAAAAGGTCTATGCTTTCATCCTTCTCAGAGTCTTTATTTTGTATGTTTTTATCCTTACCTGAGGACATTTTTTTTTAATTGCATTTATCTTTAGATAGAGCAGGAGGGAGAGAGGGAGGAAGAGAGAGAGAAACATCCATGTGAGAGAGACACATCGAGTGGCTGCCACCCACATGACCCCAACGGGGCGGGAACAAACTGCAACCAAGGTACGTGTCCTTAGTGGGGACCAAACCCAGGTCTCTCTGGTCCACGGGCCGACGCTCTAACCCCTCAGACCGGCCAGGGCCCTGTCAGAGCCTTTACTAAAATCTCTGGACAGTGTGGAGAGAAAGGCATTGTGGGCGCTGTCTCCCGAATGGGGGCGCACAGAGCCCTGTGCAGGGACGCGGCCTCCGGGAAGGTCCGAAGCCGGCTCTGTACCGGCCCTTCCGCGGCTGGCGGCTCTCGCCTGCTACTCCCCGAGCAGGGGGCAAATGAGCCTTATGGGTTTGCCCGGCTAAACGGCTGCCCACAGTGCGCGCTTGGGCTCCGAGCTGTCCCTGACCCAGGAGCGCTGCCATCATCGGGGCATTCGCAGAGCCTAGGAGGACCCAGTGGTGGCGAGCGGCTCAGTGGGTGCAGCCCCTGGGGGAGATGCTAAGGAAATCCAGAGACCTGACCTGCAGCGCTCAGTGTTTGGTTGCAGACCTGATCGGTGGAACACGAAGCCCTGCGGACCAGTAGAGGGTGGTCCCTAGAGAGTAGACGAGCATCTGTCCAAGAGGAAAAGCACGTGGTTAGATTGCAGTCACCTCTGCTTTTCTGTGGCCCGAAACACAATTCCAGTGCCATGTGTGGTGGACACCAGTGGCGGACCCAACAACCATCTGCAGCTCCCTTAAAATGTTGCCCCCTGCTCTGGCAGCTAAGGGTCACAGTGACCATGACGCACAATTTTGGCAAAAGACAAAAGCAAGTCTATTAGGAGGCTTCTGAGAAAACGTCTGCTTTTCTGACGATCAGAACCCCCGGGACTGACCCCACTCTTCCCTCCTTACTCCGGCCCGGAATCGCAGCCGCCGTGTGACGGGGAGGCACAGGCATAAGAACAGAAGCCAGAGGCTAAAGCAGACAGAAGAGAAACATACAGCCTGGGTTCCTGACGACGTTTACGGAGCTGCTGAACAATCCCAGACTTCTCGTTAAGTGAGGAATGAGGTTGTCTGTGTTCCTGCCGCTGTGCCTGCGGCTGTTTCCTGGGGCCCGAGCCTGGCTCACCCGGCCCGAAGCATCACTGTTGCCGAAGCAGCAGGGGTCCCGGGAAGAGCATCACCTGACTTCGCTGAGCCTGCTTTCCTCCACCTTTAAAGTGACTCCTGCCTGAGTGTTCCTGAGGATTGAGTCAAGAGTTCCTGGAGATGGTGATGATAATGATTGTTACTGGGCAGTGAGCACTTATACCAAGCCTTGCCCTAAACCTTTTACTTACATCAACGCATTTAGTTTCACCACAATCCCGTGAGGTATGTATTTTAATTGTCCTCTTTTTATAGTGAAAGAAACTAAAACAAAGACAAGTTGGGGAACTTGCCCATAAGACCTGAAACCTAGACTTGAAGCCAGTGACCAGAGCCCCTGCCCTGAGCCACTCGGCTCGTGGCTTCCGGATCATACTACATCCTCAATGTGTTCATTACTATGATTACGATGGTTGGGCTCCTATTATAAGTGACAGGCCTCATTCGCCTTAAGATCGCTCCTTTAAGAAAATGATTCTGGGGACTTTGGGAGGGAGACATTGAATTAACAAGACTTGGTGTGTAAAATGCACGGTTACTTGAGCAGTCCACTGAGTTAAACACAAATGGGCTTAGTTTGGGTTTTGGCATCTCTAGGTCAAGGGCATGTGTCCAGTGCCAGGTGTGCCAATGATCTCTGTGCTTTGTTTCAATTGTGCCCTTAAACCAGCCAACAATCCTCTGATGAATGTGACTAGACACCGGCCAGGAAGTTCGCAAGCTGCACCCTCGTTTCTGGAGAAATAACGCTGAGAGCAGACACCAGAGTGGCATCCGAGCACCGCCCATGCCTGTCACTGACCTGATTCCTTGGGCTCTCTGCCACAGTGACAGCAGACTTCATCCCAACCCCCAGTGCAGCCCACTGGTAGGCCCTGCCTGAGGAAGGGGGGTGAGAAGGTTTTGAGGGCAACCCCTGGATCCATGGGGAAGAACTCCACAGTCAGTTGGTGGTGTCTGCCATGAGCATGGGAGGGTGATGGTGGTATGAGCGCCCTATGGTCAGAGACCTGCCCGCACTTCCTGCCTGGCCCTGGACTAACACCCGAGCCGTGAGGGAGTGCTCAGTATGCTGGTTGGCGCTGACGGTTGGCCTGAGAAAGGAGCAGGGCACACCTTCCTAACCTCACAATGGGGCACAGGACGGGGAGGATTCCGGGCACAGCATCTCCTGAGACCACTTTCCTAACTGTGCACTCTACCCACAGGGCCCGAGCCAGGCTGGATGGAGAGAGGAGCCTGTGGTCAACACAAGACAGCAGCAGGTAACAGAGCCGGCTGGGAGGGGCGCTGAGAGAGAGTGACCAGGTAACCCTGCCTCCTGGCCTAGCAGGCAGGGTGTGAGGCTGGTGGCTTCCGCCCCTTAAGCCATGTCCCTTTCTACCATGTCTCAGGAGCCCAGAGTGTTAAGCCAGCAATAAAGATCGCTGTTCAGTTTGTTCAGGACTCTGTCACTTCCCACGCCAACCCTCCCCAAGTTCGAACACTCCCATCTCCCGGCCTGACTCTGCAGCAAGCTCTCCAGTCCTGGCACAGCCTGCTCCTGCAGCCTGCTCCTTCTGCAGCCTGCTCCTTTAGCAGCCTGCTCCTTCTGCAGCCTGCTCCTTTAGCAGCCTGCTCCTGCAGCCTGCTCCTTTAGCAGCCTGCTCCTTTAGCAGCCTGCTCCTTTAGCAGCCTGCTCCTTTAGCAGCCTGCTCCTTTAGCAGCCTGCTCCTTTAGCAGCCTGCTCCTGCAGCCTGCTCCTTTAGCAGCCTGCTCCTGCAGCCTGCTCCTTTAGCAGCCTGCTCCTGCAGCCTGCTCCTTTAGCAGCCTGCTCCTGCAGCCTGCTCCTTTAGCAGCCTGCTCCTGCAGCCTGCTCCTTTAGCAGCCTGCTCCTGCAGCCTGCTCTTTTAGCAGCCTGCTCCTGCAGCCTGCTCCTTTAGCAGCCTGCTCCTGCAGCCTGCAGCCTGCTCCTTTAGTAGCCTGCTCCTTTAGTAGCCTGCTCCTTTAGTAGCCTGCTCCTTTAGCAGCCTGCTCCTTTAGCAGCCTGCTCCTGCAGCCTGCTCCTTGAGAAACATACAGGGGAGTGGGCCCTGTTTCCGCAGCTCAGCTCAGCGAGGCTCTGAGAGGGGAGGGACTAGACCTTCACACGTCACTCAGTGGGGGCCATGCTTCGGTCAGAAGGGTCATGTCTGTCCCTCACCAGTGAGCCCTGTGGTGGACAGGGAAGGGCCAGGAGCATTCGAGATCTGTCTTAGCTCAGGTCCTGCTGAAGGCAGAGCCTGAGACAAGGGTTACATGCTGACGTTTCATTCAGGAGCAGTACACCAGGGACAGAGAGAAAAATGGGAGGAAGACGACGACAGGTGTGACGTGCAGGGTGACCATGACGGTTATCTAGCACTCCAGACTTCTCCGGAAGGCTTGCAACACTCGCCCCTCCGAGAACAGTGCAGCAGGAAAGAAAGACGGGCAGATGCACCTTGTCAGCTCCGTCCCATCTCGTTTTCTGTTGTGAAGGTTCACTCCCTGGAAAACCAGCCCCTGCATTTCGGGTTTCTCACCTAAGAGCTAAAAAGTTGATGGCAAGAAAACCTGGGAATAACCTTCTTTAAGCACATTCTGCCTCCACATTCCTCAGGGCCGAGCTGGGAGCTGGGGAGACCGAGGGCGAGGCCCCTCCCGGAGGACAGGCCAGGCGTGGCACGCGGACACCACGCGCCTCACCCGAGCTGCACCGGGCTGCTCTTGCTGCTCTGCTGCTGTAGCCGTCCAGGGGCCTTGAGACGAGCAGCCTCTGCGTGAGACACGTGGCCTTGGAAAGACACGCTTCCGAACACAGAAAGCAAGGTGGACCAGGGGCAGACCACGTAGTCCGAGGAACCTGAAACCAAGGCAGAGACAGGGACTAGAGACAGGGCCACTGCAGTTGGCCATCTATTTGACTGTGCCCAGCAGAGGCCACGAGCTGACCCCTGGCAAACAGGGATGAAACAAATCTGACCACGATGCGTGCACAGGAGCATGTGTTACAAAGGTGGCAGGAGCTGTGGCCAGGAAACTAACGCCTGCATCCAAATCCATCAGTGGCCCAAGAGTCTCAAGGAGAAGCCCGACTTCTCCGGAGCCAGGCCAGGGACCCAGGCGGCTGGTGTTCTGGGCATCCTGGGGGTGCCTCAGACCTCCAGCGTAGGGCGGAGGGAGTGAAGACTCGGAGATGATGAAGCTGAAGCGACAGGTGTACAGCCTCCCTGCTCCTCCCTGTGCGGCACCTTCCCTGGACTGCGCACGTGTGACCTCACCTGTGAGGAGCGTCACTGCGGCTGGCAGCCCCAGGCGTGTGTGACTTCCGAGTTCACACCCGAGTGGGGATCCAGTGCTTGTTCCAGCTGTTAATTTAATGTCTCCCAGCTGCAAACCATCTGTCAGTACCTGCGCAGTCCCTGAGTGTCCTACCCGTACAGCGACGCACAGGTAGGTCTCTCTGCAGAGGGCGCTGGAGGGACACAGGGGCTGGGGCAGCGGTGTGTGCATGAGGACACCTGGTGATGCTTTGCACCAACATCGCCCAGGACCCCGGTCCCTCGGCCACCTCCTGGCCTGGCCTCACCAAGCAGTCACCCTGTCTATACAGACACTGACAACGCCAGGCCTCTCGCCCGCACCTGCTCCAGACCTGCGGCTCACCTGCACCCGCCTGCACCTGCCTGCACCCACCTGCACCTGCCCACACCCGCTCCCGACCTGCGGCTCTCCTGCACCTGCCTGTACCCACCTGCACCCACTCCGGACCTGCAGCTCACCTGCACCCGCCTGCACCCGCCTGCACCTGCCTGTACCCACTCCGGATCTGCAGCTCACCTGCACCCGCCTGCGCCCGCCTGCACCTGCCAGCACCCACCTGCACCCACCTGCACCCGCCTGCACCCACTCCGGACCTGTGGCTCTCCTGCACCCGCCCGCACCCACTCCGGATCTGCAGCTCACCTGCACCTGCCGGCAACCAGACAGCCTGGTGGCTCTTGCCTGTGCCCTGCTTGTCCAGTGACTACAGGTCAACTTTGGCAGACAAGACAGCAAACTTCACTGTCATCATGGGCGGCAGGCACAGATCTGACTCTCAAGCCGGGAAGAGGGCTTCCCTCCAAAGTCTGTCCCCCAATGGGACTGCCCTCAGCCCTGGGGACCACGTAGAGTTTCCTTATATATTACAGTTACCCTTCTATAGGAGCTTAATAATTCTTTACATTAACCTTCCCAGTTTAGAGCAGGAGTGTGTGGGTCCCAGCTCCGGAAGGGACACCGCTGGGGCAGCGTCCTGCAGGGGACAGTGTGGGCTGCCCCGCCTCCTGTCCCTGGTTGTGCCCAGAGTGTGGGCAGAGAGCTGCAGCTGCTCTCTCCCTGCCACCATGCCCGAAAAACTGCACGACCAGGCCAGAAGAGGGACCTTCGTTCAACTCTGCCGCAGGCCATGAGTCAGGAGACAGGCTGCCCTCCCGGTGCTGTGCCGTGGGTGGTGCCGAGTGCGTGCTCATTGTAACAACTCAGAACTGATCAAGAAGCAGCACCCAGAAATACATTTGTTTGGGAAGCTTCACACTCACCGCCTCCCTCCCCCGGGACTCAGTTGTCCCAAACACACTCTCTTACCCTCAGAGAGGTCTTCCAGGAGCCGCTGCGCAGCCAGAAACCAGAGGGACCAGATCTCCTCCTGACAGAGCTTCGTCCTGGCCTGCAGGGCACTGGCCAGGGCCACAGAGGCTGGGCTCATGCCTGCAGAGACACACACGCCGCTGAGCCCCTGCAGTGTCCAGAGCACGTCTGGGCCAGCACTCGCCACTCTGGCCAGGCGCGGTCCAGCCCCCGAAACACAGGCAGCCACGTGCTCATCCCTGACACCCCCAGGGCTGGGCCCATGGGAGAAGCTAAAGAAATGTTCATCGGAGGGCTGGCTGGGCTGGCTCGTTGGTTCTCAGTGAATGAGCAAATAAATAAACAAACTCTCAAGTGAAGGGGTGAGTGAATAAATGAATGAACAGATGAACCGTGGGAACGGCACCTCCCTCCGAGCCCGGTGCGCGGTGGCAGAGAGCCCCCTCTGTTGGGTGCTGTCCACTGCCTGCTGCCCTCTCTGGCTTAACAGCCTTTTTGCCTCTGAAACATGATCATGTCTTTTCCTCTCCTGCTGCCACGTGCAAAGTGGGACTGGTTGCAGCTCAGTCCTGTCTCTCAGGGTCACATCTGCCTGCAGAGGCCAAGTCACTAGAAGGAAGTGAGGCCGCTTTGAAAAGGCGCCGAGCGCAGGGAAGCAGCAGACTGCTGTGCTGGCGGAGGATGAGGGAGGCTGGTCCCGCCTCTGAGAACCTCCTTCAAACAAAGCTGACAATTAAATGTCGGTCCTGACTAAGCCACCACCCACCAATCTCCAGCAAGGAGAACCCCGCGGACAGCAGCAGAAGAAGCCGGGCGGGCTTTCCATAACCCTTCGCGTCACTGACCTTTGTGCAGCCAGAGCTCACGGATGGGGGGTGTTACATGGGGGCAGGGTGGGAAGCTCATCATAGCACCCCCATCTCTGCACCCAACGTGCTAATCCAAGCCCTCCGCTCACCAGCTGCTCAGCCTCCTACCTCTGCCTCTAAGGCCAGCTTCCTGCAGACAGCTCCTGCCCCCGGAGTGGGGGCCCCACACAGGGACCCCCAAACGAGAGCAGCAGAGAAGAGAAGGGGAGCCCAGGCAGCATTGGCGGGTGGGAATCAGAGGTGCTTCGGCCCACCCGGGGACTCAGCACCGTCCCAGGCCAACAGCCAGTGCGTTGAGATGCCAGCCTGGACAGCCCCCCTGGTCCTGGGAGCCGGCGAGGCCAGGAGGCAGAGCGGCGGACCCCAGAAGGGCTCTGAGCGGACCACAGAAGGGCTCTGAGCGGACACACAGAGGACACACAGCGGACCTGTGGGGCGCATGTTCGCTGAAAGAATTTTGCTGGGAGTGGACAGAGCACCTGGGGAAAGAGGCTGTTCCTTCCCCTCGAACGATGAGGGAGCGACCCCCCCCCCACCCCCCACCGCAGGACAGCTCTGAGCTGCAGGTTGGTGCCCAGCAGCAGGCCCTGGCATCACTGGGGATTCAGAATATATAACTATAAATATATGTGAACCTGAAATCAGAGCCTCAAAATATATGAATCAAAAATTGATAGATTTGCCCTGGCCAGTTTGGCTCAGCAGCAGAGCGTCGGCCCGCGAACCGGGTTCATGGGTTCAATGCCAGCCAAGGGCACGTACCTCAGTTGCAGTTCATCCTTGGCCCTGGTCGGGTCGTGAGGGAGGCAACCATTTGATGTGTCTCTCCCAGGTGGATGTTTCTCTCGCTCTCCATCTCTCCCTCCCTCCTACTCTATCCAAAGATAAACGAAAAAATATCCTTGGCTGGGGATTAAAAAATAAATAAAAATTGATAGAATTGAAAGAAGAAATAGATAATTCAACAATGATGGAGACTTCAATACTCATAATGGCTAGAACAAGTAGCCAGAAGGCCAGTAGGAGCTTTATCAACGTTGCAAGTCAGCTAACCCCGAGAGACGCTATGACACGTCACTGACAACACGACACAACATTTTCTCAGGGGCGCACGAAGCATTCTCCAGGACAGGCTGCATGCTAGACCACAAAACAAGTCTTCATCAGTTTAAAAGCATTGCAGTTATACAAGTTACGTGCTCAGAAAATGGAATGAAATCGGATATCAATAGGGAAGAACATTTGGAAGATTGACACGTGTGGAGATTGGGAAACACACTCCTAAACAGCCAGTGCTCGAGAAGAAATCGCGAGGAAAACGAGGACAACAGCGGCATGCCACATGTCTGGGCTGCAACTAGAGGAGTCCTTAGAGGGAAAACTACATCTGCAAATGCTTATATTTAAAAAGAAGATCTCGAATCAGTAACCTCAACTTCACCTTAAGAAACTAGACATAGCCCTGTGTGGCTCAGTTGGTTGGGCATCGTCCAGTGCACCGGGGGGCTGCCAGTTTGATTCCTGGGCAGGGCACATGCTTGTGTTGTGGGCCCCAGTGTGGGGCATGGGGCATGCGGGAGGCAGCCCATCGGGTCTCTCTCGTATTGATGTTTTTCTCTCCCTCCCTGACCCCTCCCCCTTCTCTCTCTAAAAATCAATTTTTAAAAATATATTTTTTAAAAAAGAAACTACACATAAAACAGAAAAGTAACCAAAATCAGCCAAAAGGAAAGTAAACAATAAAAACTAGAGTGAAAATGAATTAAATACAGAGTAGAAAAACAACAGAGAAAATGAATAAAAGCAAAAGTTAGTTATTTGAAAAAAATCAACAAAATTGAAAAATATTTAGCTAGATTGACCAAAATAAAAAGAGAGAAAACTTAAATCACTAAAATCAATAATGAAAGACTGGACATTACTATCAATCTTATAGAAATAAAAATAATTATAAGAAAATACTATGGATAGTTGTATGCTGAGAAATTAGAAAATATAGATGAAATGGAAAATTCCTAGAAAGACACAAATTACTCAAACTGACTCAAGAAGGAATTGCAGCTTTGATTAGGCACAGAACGAGAAAACAGATTGCATTACTAATCAAAAACCTTTCCACAAGGAAAAGCCCAGGACCCCAAAGCTTCACCAGTGAATATTTAGAGAACATTTAAAGACAAATGAACATCAATCCTCACAAAGTCTTCCCAAAAATATATAAGGAGGGGACACCTTCCCAAAAATAGATGAGGAGGGGACACTTCTCAACTTCTAGGAAGCCAGTATTACCCTAATACCAAATGACACAAAAATGGCCTAAGATTAGAAAACCACAGAACAATTTATCCTATTTATTGAAGGAAGAGAGACTGCTAGTAAGTATTAAATTTCTTTTGAGGATGCTGAGAACAATATTCTGGAGTTAGTGGTGATGGTTAAGCAACTTCATGAACATACAAAAACATCTGAATTGTACACTTTTAAAAAGTAAATGTTATGGTATGTGAGCCATATCTCAATTTTTTCCTTTATTGATTTTAGGGAGAGAGGAAGGAGGAGAGAAATAGAAACTTCGAGGAGAGAGAACATAGATTGGCCGCCTCCTGCACGCCCCCCACTGGGGATCAGGCCCACAACCTGGGCATGTGCCCTGACCGGGAACCGAACCGGCAACCTCGTGGTGCATGGGTCGACGCTCAACCACTGAGCCACACTGGCTAGGCTAATAATTTTTTTTAAATAGAGACAATATAGGGATGGAGGGGAAACTGTAATTAAAAGACATACCAATTTTTTAAATGACCAAGAGTAAATAGCATGTTTAGAAATGCACATTTGAGGGATAAAACCAAAAACGAGCAAAACCAAGTTGTACTGTAATGGTCAGGAGAGCAGATACCTTTGGGGGAGCAATGGGACCACACTTGAGACATCGAGGGGTTTCTGGAATGTGGGGGGGGATTCTATTTCTTGGCCTGGGTGGTAGCTACAAAGGTGTTTGCCTTATAATGACTCATTAAGTGACACATTTGTAGTCGGCTCTCTGTACTTTACAACTAAAAGCTTAAAACAATTGCAAGCCCTGCCCTATTTATTGAAAATATTTTAAAGCAAATCCAAGAAAAACGTATTACATTTCCACCTCCTTTCTTGAACTATGAATCCAACACCTTCCAGCAGTTGCGTTAAACTTGTCTGAAGAGAGTTATCCTGAATTCTTGCCAACAGACGCGTCCGGCGTTGTCTCCTCGCCCTCTAGGTGGACAGGGAGATGGGGGTTCACACCTAGAAACCCCACACCTGTCAGGTCAGCCACCAGGCACCTGGGGACTAGAGCTATGAGTTCCTTGGGGTTTGCAGCTGCTGTTCTGGTTGTGGGAAGTTTCAGGATCTCAGTTTCCCCACAAACAGCCTTGAGCTCGCAGCCTGTGCCGGCCAAGCATTCATTATCCTGTCCGCCAAACCAAGCGAAACAAAACTGTCACAACGTTGCAAAGTACACGCACGATCCTGCTGCAGAAAAACCTGCTCACCTGTCGCTCTTCTGTCCCACTGGCCCCAGGGTCACAGCCGACTGCTATGATCTGCCCCCAGGGGTGAGTTGGTGTCTGGAGAGAGCTTTGAAGCCTGGGCACCACAGCAGCCTCTAAATTTTCCTGGCAACCCTCGCCACATCCCTACACTTCCATGGGGAGCAGACTATTTGGGGACACCCAAAGGACTTCTCTCCAACCCACCAGTCCTCAAAAGAAGCAACCTGGACCCACATTAACACAGTTATCTCTGTGTCTTATTGCAGATTCCATTTCAGAGCCAACTGAGACCTCCTCTAATGACAAGACAGTAGACACTCCGTCGCGCCGCTCTGCCTGCCAGGCACCGTTCCGAAGCTGTGCGTGCGCCTCTCCAGCCATGGCACACGCTCAGCCTTCAGCAGCCACGGCGATGCCTCTGGGCGTCTCTTCGGGGTTTGCTAACTGTCTGGTGGTTGAGGTGCTGCTACGCCATGGGCTAGAACAAGCATCGTTAGCAACCTAAGGGATGGACAGGTCCATCACAGGTAAACCTTGTCCTCCCGTCAGCGGAGGCTCAGGAAAGCACCAGCCGGTGGGCACACCTTTGGGGTGCATCTCCATGCTTCTTCCTGGGTCTCACCCTCGTGGGCCGAGTCCTCCGCACTGACCTCGTTCTCTGAAGGCTGCCATGGTCATCTAGCACCCTAAAGCAAAACCTGCACGCCTGTCGCTTTTCTTCCTCTTCCATCCGAGGCCCCGTTGCCCACTTCAGAGCTTCCTGGGTACCCCCCGCCCCCGTGAGTTCCCATGATGTGGTGCATCCTGCCTTCCGAGGACTTTCTCTACTGACCTCCGGCTTCCAGAAGCCCCTTCACCCGAGTCCGGCAGCCTAGAAGCTCCGCTGTGCCCACGCCCTTCTGTGCTTCCGCGCGGGCCACCCCTCACGGGGGACGTTGTCCCCACAGCCTCGCCCCAGCCATCCTTCATTTAACAAATACTTATCAAGGACCTAGAACATTGTAAGCTCTGTGCTACGGGTAGACTGCTAACAACATGACATTCTACCTTTCTTCTAGTGGGGACCAGCAGAAGGGGCCAGGTAAACAGATACCAAAACAGTTGCAGAGAGACAGACTGACGGACCAGCGGACACGGCGATGACTGAGCTGGGCGGTCAGGGCGGCACTCGGGAGGGGACGTGGAGCTCGGACTAGAAGGCTGTGGGCTACATGTCCAGAAGTTCCCAGGGCTCGGCAGCTCCGGGGAGCAGAGCGGAGCTGGACGGGTGTGGGGAGGAGCCGAGCGAGGGCACCGGGCTGTGGGGGGCAGAGCTGGACGGGGGCCTCTGCCACGCCTCTCAGGCCAAGGAAAGGAGCTTCACGTTTGCCCAGGAGCCAAGGGGAACTTGGCCTACCTGCTGGTTTGCAGACGAATTGCAACCCAGAACCTGCAAAGCCAGGCAGGGCCTCTTTGACTCAGTCATGCTGCTGAGTGTCGCCCAGAGCGAGAGGGAGTGTTGCCTGAGGGCCAGCAGACTGACCCTTGTCTCGCTGAACCCTCACCAGTCAAGAGCTGGCTCGGGTCTGCCCCCTCCCCACTCAGGAAGAGCCCCGCGTCCAAAGTCCCCACAGCTGCGGAGTGACAGGCACCGCACCAGCTGGCGGACCAGGCCGTCCACTGCAGGCACGTGCGTGTCTGCTGCCCTCTGCTAACTGACTGGCTGTGTAATGGCTTCTGTGAGAGTTTAGTCACATTCCAGCATCCCACCCTCATCTTCCTCCCCTCCTTCCCCCTCCACCAGGGCACTGGTGACCATCTCTGGCTATAAACTCTGGATCGTGTGACCCCCACCCCTCTAGGGTGCCCTAGGAGACCAAGTCTCTGGGGCCTCCAACGTCCTTCTTGGCTCAGAGTTCAAGGCGCCAC